GCATGCGATCAGTTCTGCTACTTCCATGCATGCTCATGCGCTCATGACCTCACGTTCCTTCACATCTTCAAGCTCCCATGCTCATCTGCCCTCCAGTTTTTGCATCCGATCCCTCTTCTCCTGCTGCTGGTCCTATCACTGCTGCTGCTCCCACTGCTGCCGCTTTCACTCCCGCTGCCGTTCCCACCACTGATTTTACTACTTCTGCTGCTCCTGCCTCTGCTGCTTTCTCTCTTGCTGCTGCTCTTAACGCTGGTGCCCTTTCTCCCGCTAGTGCAGCTGTTGCAGCATCAGCTGCTGCTGCTGCTGCTGCTGCTGCTGCTGCTGCTGCTGCTGCTGCTTCTGCTGCTGCTGCTGCTGCTGCAACCACTCTGGCCGCTCCTCCTCCTGCTCCTTCCCCTGCCATTGGCCCTCCTCCTGCTCACTCTGCCTCTGCTGCTGCTGCTGCTATAACATCAGCAGTTGCTGCTAGCCCCCTTCTTGCAGCTCTCCTCTCCCGTCAAGCGACCTACCTGTACAGCTCGCCGCATCCAATCAGCCCATCACAGATCTCCTGTCAAGCTTCTCATCGCTTCAACTCAGAGTGCAAGCCTGCTCCTGCTGCTCCTGCTGCTGCTGCTGGTTGCGGTGGTGCATCTGCTTCTGCTTCTGCTGACGGTGCTGGTGCTGATCCTGCCAGTGGTGCTTGTGCTGCTGCTCCTGTTGCCGGTAATGATCGTGACAGTGTTAGTCTCTTTCTGGCGAACCGCGAAGCACCTCATGTCTTCAACGCACAACTCGCACTTGCTGCTGCTGCTGCTCCTGATGCTAATGCCCCCGTTTCTTATGGTGGTGATGGTGGTGGTGGCGGCGACGGCAATGGTGGCAGTGCTGTTTCGTTTCCGACGAATCACCAAGCACTTCATCGGCTCAACACCCAACATACACTCGCTGCTGCTGCTGCTGCTGCTTCTGCTAATCGTACAGCTGGCGACGGTGGTGGTGGTGTTGGTGGTGGTACTGCTGCTGCTGCTGCTGCTGCTGCTGCTGCTGCTGCTGCTGCTGCTGCTGCTGCTGCTGCTGCTGCTGCTGCTGGTGGTGCTGCTTGTTTCACAGGAGCATTTTCGGGAGACAAGGTGGGAAGAGATGTAAAAAAAGAGGTGACGAGTGATGTGGTAAGCTGGGGAGAGGGGAGATTCGTGGAGCATTCAAGGCTAGATGGTCAAGTAGGAGGGGTTTGGGGAAACAGCAAGGGAGAGAGAGGTAAGAAGAGAGGGAGAAAGGAGGAGAAGGAAGAGGAAGAGGAGGCGGAGGAGGAGGACGACGAGGAGGAATTTGAGGTAAAACGGAAAGGTTTGCCAATGCAAATTATCCTGGGATTGACAGGTGCAAGGGATGCATTGGGAGGAGGAATGGCAGCGGGGGATGGTGGTAGGAGGAGGGACGGTGGGGGGCATGGTGGGGAAAATGGGGGAGGGGATGATGGCAGGAATGGTGGTGGGACTGGTGGAAGTAATGGGGGAGGGGAAGGCGGTGGTATGGTTACTAGCAGTGGGAGCGGGCATAGTAGCGGGTGCAGCAGAGCAGACTTAGGTGGCAGAGCAAGGCGGAAAGCAGCTAAGACAAGTAAAGCAGATAGAGAAACACGTACAGCTACCCCCAGAGATGCTGCTGCAACGGGGTTGATCCCCTCTGATGGTGGTGAATTGCGCAGCAGAGGTGCACCTGTTGATGCCTCTAATCAACCCATAAGCGCCAACACTGCCCCGTCTTTTCTGTCGACTCTGCCGGCCAGGAAGCGAGCAAAAAAGGACAAGAACAGGTACCGGGGGGTGCGGCAGCGGCACTGCGGGAAGTGGGTGGCTGAGATCCGATTTCCTAAGAAAAAATCGCGTGTGTGGCTTGGAACGTTTACCTGCCCGGAAGACGCTGCCCGGGCGTATGATCGGGCAGCGGTGAAACTTCGTGGGCCCCGAGCGTTGACGAATTTTCCAGATGAGTATGAGAATTGGCGGGATGGGGCAGGAGATGATGTGTTGGGATTTAAGGGAGAGGAAGGAGTGGAGAAGGGAGAGATGGGGGAGGATATGGTGGGGTTTAAGGGGGGAAGTGCAGCAGAGAGAAGGGAGGGAGGGAGGAGAGGGGAGATGGATACGATTGGAGAGGGCGAGGATGATGGGAGGGGAAAGGCAGAACAGGAGGGGCAGCAACAGCAGCAGGAGTGGCAGCAGCAGCATCAGCAGAGGATCATAGCTACTATTATAAGGATGACTGCTGAAGCACAAACAGACGCCTCAGGGGGGGCTTGATCTCCAAATATGGTAGCTCTGCTGCTGCTGTTGCTGACGGTTGTGGTTGCGACAGTGCAATTCACTTTTTGGTGAGTAGCCAAGCACCTCATGACTTCAACACACAGATTGCACTTGCTGCTTCTGCTGATGCTTCTGCTGCTGCTTCTGTTCCTGATGCTTATGGTAGTGGTGGTGGCGGTGGTGCTATTTCCTTTCTGATGGATCGCCAAGCACCTCATCTGTTCCACTCACAGCTTGGAGTTGCTTCTGCTGCTGCTTCTGCTCCTGATGCTAATGTCCCTGTTGCTTATGGTAGTGGTGGTGGCGGCGGCGGCGGTGGCGGCGGTGCTATTCCTGTTTTGACGAATCGTGAAGCGCCTTTTCTCTTCAATGCACAGCTTGCACTAGCTGCTGCTGGTGATGATAATGCCGCGGTGGTGGTGTTTGTGGTGGTTTTGCTGCTGCTGCTGCTGCTGCTGCTGCTGCTGCTGCTGCTGGTGCTGGTGCTGCTTGTTTCACAAGAGAGATCCGGGGAAACAAGGAGGGAAGGCGGGTCACACGGGACAGGATGCCTGATGCGGTAAGCAGGACAGAGGGGAGATCTGTAGAGTGTTCCAGGCTAGATGGTCTCGTAGGAGGGTGTTGTAGAAGCAACAAGGAAGAGAGATGGAGAAGGAGAGAGGAGAAGGAGGAGGAAGAGGAGGACAAGGGGGGGTTGGAGGTTACAAGAAAACTCCTGCCAGTACCAATAGTTCTGGGAGCGGCAGGTGCAGAGGAGGCATTGGAATTCTGAAGGAGGTCTGGGAGAGGAGGATGGTGGTACGAGGAGGGATGATGGCAGTGGGAGTGCTAGTGGTCATGCTGGGGCAAAGGGGGGGTGATGGAAGAAAGGATGAGGGTCATGGTGGTGGGAATACCTTAGCGAGGGTAATGGTGAGGGAAAAAAGGGGAATGGTGAGGATAATGGTGGAGGGGAAGGCGGTGGTATGGCTGCTAGGAGTGGGAGTGGGCATAGTAGCGGGTTCAGCAGATCTGGAATACGCAATGGGGCGAGGCGGGGCACAGTACCTAGAATTACTACCGTAGACACCGCTGTAACTTTGCGAATACCCTCTAATATGGGTGAAGCCAGAAGCAGAGGAGCTCCTGTTGATGCTTCCTCTAATCAACCCACATGTGCCAACACTGCCGGCCAGCAAGCAAGCAAAAAAGGACAAGAACAGGTACCGGGGGGTGCGGCAGCGGCACTGCGGGAAGTGGGTGGCGGAGATCCGATTCCCCAAGAAGAAATCCCGCGTGTGGCTTGGAACGTTCACCTGCCCGGAAGAGGCTGCCCGAGCGTACGATCGGGCAGCGGTGAAACTTCGTGGGCCCCGAGCGTTGACAAATTTTCCCGATGAGTTTGAGAATTGGCGGAATGGGGCAGGCAATTACTTGGTGGGGTTTAAGGGGGCGGAGGGAGGGGAGAAAGGGGAGGCGGGGGGAGATGAGGTGGGGTTGAAGGGGGAAAGTGCGACAGAGAGAGGGGAGGGAGGGAAGAGAAGGGAGATGGATACGGTTGGAAAGGGTGAAGATGAGGGGATGGGAGTGGAAAGCACAAGACAGCGCACAAGGGGAAGAGTGAGCAGGGCTGAAGGGAAAAAGGAGTGAGAGTAGGGAGGGGAGATGGATGTGAGTGGAAAGGGTGATGGGGAGGAGGGAAGCGACTGGAAGGGAGAAGGCAGCGGATGAGAGGAAAGGGTGATTGGGAGGAGGAAGAAGAAGGCAGACGGCAGGAGTTGATGGAAGAAGGGAGGGAGAGGAAGGTGGGTACATAGATGTGATTGGAAAGGGAGAGGGCAAGGTGGGCACATAGATGTGATTGGAAAGGGAGAGGGCAAGGTGGGCACATAGATGTGATTGGAAAGGGAGAGGGCAAGGTGGGCACATAGATGTGATTGGAAAGGGAGAGGGCAAGGTGGGCACATAGATGTGATTGGAAAGGGAGAGGGCAAGGTGGGCACATAGATGTGATTGGAAAGGGAGAGGGCAAGGTGGGCACATAGATGTGATTGGAAAGGGAGAGGGCAAGGTGGGCACATAGATGTGATTGGAAAGGGAGAGGGCAAGGTGGGCACATAGATGTGATTGGAAAGGGAGAGGGCAAGGTGGGCACATAGATGTGATTGGAAAGGGAGAGGGCAAGGTGGGCACATAGATGTGATTGGAAAGGGAGAGGGCAAGGTGGGCACATAGATGTGATTGGAAAGGGAGAGGGCAAGGTGGGCACAAAGATGTGATTGGAAAGGGAGAGGGCAAGGTGGAGAAGCAAGCCTTATGGAAGAAGGGAGGGAGAGGAAGGTGGGTACATAGATGTGATTGGAGATTTTGATGGGGAGAAAGATGGTGAGTGAAAGGCAGACGAGAGCTAAAAAGGGAGGGCGAGGAGTACGGCTGAAGAATAGAGAGAGAGAGGAGGGAGGAAATACGGATAAGTTTGAAGAGGGTGAGGAGGGCAGGAGGCAGGAGATGAGTGGAAGGCAGGAGATGAGTGGAAGGCAGGAGACAGAATATGAAGGGGGAGGGGCTAGGAGACAGGGCTGAAAGCAGACAGAGGGGGCAAGGGATACGGATATGGATTGGGGCAGTTGAAGAGTGGTGGGGAGGGGCAATTAAAGGGTTTTGGAGGGGAGAGGGTAACGGAAGGGTTATTGAAAGGGAAAGAGAAGTGAAGTAGCTGATGGGAAGGTATCAGATTGTAAGTAAGAGGGTAGCTGAGAGGGAATACGATGGTAGCAGAGAGGGAATACGATGGTAGCTGAGAGGGAATACGATGGTAGCTGAGAGGGAATACGATGGTAGCTGAGAGGGAATACGATGGTAGCAGAGAGGGAATACGATGGTAGCTGAGAGGGAATACGATGGTAGCTGAGAGGGAATACGATGGTAGCTGAGAGGGAATACGATGGTAGCAGAGAGGGAATACGATGGTAGCTGAGAGGGAATACGATGGTAGCTGAGAGGGAATACGATGGTAGCAGAGAGGGAATACGATGGTAGCAGAGAGGGAATACGATGGTAGCTGAGAGGGAATACGATGGTAGCTGAGAGGGAATACGATGGTAGCAGAGAGGGAATACGATGGTAGCTGAGAGGGAATACGATGGTAGCTGAGAGGGAATACGATGGTAGCTGAGAGGGAATACGATGGTAGCAGAGAGGGAATACGATGGTAGCTGAGAGGGAATACGATGGTAGCTGAGAGGGAATACGATGGTAGCTGAGAGGGAATACGATGGTAGCTGAGAGGGAATACGATGGTAGCTGAGAGGGAATACGATGGTAGCTGAGAGGGAATACGATGGTAGCTGAGAGGGAATACGATGGTAGCAGAGAGGGAATACGATGGTAGCTGAGAGGGAATACGATGGTAGCTGAGAGGGAATACGATGGTAGCTGAGAGGGAATACGATGGTAGCTGAGAGGGAATACGATGGTAGCTGAGAGGGAATACGATGGTAGCTGAGAGGGAATACGATGGTAGCAGAGAGGGAATACGATGGTAGCTGAGAGGGAATACGATGGTAGCTGAGAGGGAATACGATGGTAGCAGAGAGGGAATACGATGGTAGCTGAGAGGGAATACGATGGTAGCAGAGAGGGAATACGATGGTAGCAGAGAGGGAATACGATGGTAGCAGAGAGGGAATACGATGGTAGCTGAGAGGGAATACGATGGTAGCTGAGAGGGAATACGATGGTAGCTGAGAGGGAATACGATGGTAGCTGAGAGGGAATACGATGGTAGCTGAGAGGGAATACGATGGTAGCTGAGAGGGAATACGATGGTAGCTGAGAGGGAATACGATGGTAGCTGAGAGGGAATACGATGGTAGCTGAGAGGGAATACGATGGTAGCTGAGAGGGAATACGATGGTAGCAGAGAGGGAATACGATGGTAGCAGAGAGGGAATACGATGGTAGCAGAGAGGGAATACGATGGTAGCAGAGAGGGAATACGATGGTAGCAGAGAGGGAATACGATGGTAGCAGAGAGGGAATACGATGGTAGCAGAGAGGGAATACGATGGTAGCAGAGAGGGAATACGATGGTAGCTGAGAGGGAATACGATGGTAGCAGAGAGGGAATACGATGGTAGCTGAGAGGGAATACGATGGTAGCAGAGAGGGAATACGATGGTAGCAGAGAGGGAATACGATGGTAGCAGAGAGGGAATACGATGGTAGCAGAGAGGGAATACGATGGTAGCTGAGAGGGAATACGATGGTAGCTGAGAGGGAATACGATGGTAGCTGAGAGGGAATACGATGGTAGCTGAGAGGGAATACGATGGTAGCAGAGAGGGAATACGATGGTAGCTGAGAGGGAATACGATGGTAGCTGAGAGGGAATACGATGGTAGCAGAGAGGGAATACGATGGTAGCTGAGAGGGAATACGATGGTAGCTGAGAGGGAATACGATGGTAGCTGAGAGGGAATACGATGGTAGCTGAGAGGGAATACGATGGTAGCTGAGAGGGAATACGATGGTAGCTGAGAGGGAATACGATGGTAGCTGAGAGGGAATACGATGGTAGCTGAGAGGGAATACGATGGTAGCTGAGAGGGAATACGATGGTAGCAGAGAGGGAATACGATGGTAGCTGAGAGGGAATACGATGGTAGCAGAGAGGGAATACGATGGTAGCAGAGAGGGAATACGATGGTAGCTGAGAGGGAATACGATGGTAGCTGAGAGGGAATACGATGGTAGCAGAGAGGGAATACGATGGTAGCAGAGAGGGAATACGATGGTAGCAGAGAGGGAATACGATGGTAGCTGAGAGGGAATACGATGGTAGCAGAGAGGGAATACGATGGTAGCAGAGAGGGAATACGATGGTAGCAGAGAGGGAATACGATGGTAGCTGAGAGGGAATACGATGGTAGCTGAGAGGGAATACGATGGTAGCAGAGAGGGAATACGATGGTAGCAGAGAGGGAATACGATGGTAGCAGAGAGGGAATACGATGGTAGCTGAGAGGGAATACGATGGTAGCAGAGAGGGAATACGATGGTAGCTGAGAGGGAATACGATGGTAGCAGAGAGGGAATACGATGGTAGCTGAGAGGGAATACGATGGTAGCAGAGAGGGAATACGATGGTAGCTGAGAGGGAATACGATGGTAGCTGAGAGGGAATACGATGGTAGCAGAGAGGGAATACGATGGTAGCTGAGAGGGAATACGATGGTAGCAGAGAGGGAATACGATGGTAGCAGAGAGGGAATACGATGGTAGCTGAGAGGGAATACGATGGTAGCTGAGAGGGAATACGATGGTAGCAGAGAGGGAATACGATGGTAGCTGAGAGGGAATACGATGGTAGCAGAGAGGGAATACGATGGTAGCTGAGAGGGAATACGATGGTAGCAGAGAGGGAATACGATGGTAGCTGAGAGGGAATACGATGGTAGCAGAGAGGGAATACGATGGTAGCTGAGAGGGAATACGATGGTAGCAGAGAGGGAATACGATGGTAGTAGAGGGGGAATACGATGGTAGCAGAGAGGGAATACGATGGTAGCTGAGAGGGAATACGATGGTAGCTGAGAGGGAATACGATGGTAGCTGAGAGGGAATACGATGGTAGCTGAGAGGGAATACGATGGTAGCTGAGAGGGAATACGATGGTAGCTGAGAGGGAATACGATGGTAGCTGAGAGGGAATACGATGGTAGCTGAGAGGGAATACGATGGTAGCTGAGAGGGAATACGATGGTAGCTGAGAGGGAATACGATGGTAGCAGAGAGGGAATACGATGGTAGCAGAGAGGGAATACGATGGTAGCAGAGAGGGAATACGATGGTAGCAGAGAGGGAATACGATGGTAGCAGAGAGGGAATACGATGGTAGCAGAGAGGGAATACGATGGTAGCAGAGAGGGAATACGATGGTAGCAGAGAGGGAATACGATGGTAGCTGAGAGGGAATACGATGGTAGCAGAGAGGGAATACGATGGTAGCTGAGAGGGAATACGATGGTAGCAGAGAGGGAATACGATGGTAGCAGAGAGGGAATACGATGGTAGCAGAGAGGGAATACGATGGTAGCAGAGAGGGAATACGATGGTAGCTGAGAGGGAATACGATGGTAGCTGAGAGGGAATACGATGGTAGCTGAGAGGGAATACGATGGTAGCTGAGAGGGAATACGATGGTAGCAGAGAGGGAATACGATGGTAGCTGAGAGGGAATACGATGGTAGCTGAGAGGGAATACGATGGTAGCAGAGAGGGAATACGATGGTAGCTGAGAGGGAATACGATGGTAGCTGAGAGGGAATACGATGGTAGCTGAGAGGGAATACGATGGTAGCTGAGAGGGAATACGATGGTAGCTGAGAGGGAATACGATGGTAGCTGAGAGGGAATACGATGGTAGCTGAGAGGGAATACGATGGTAGCTGAGAGGGAATACGATGGTAGCAGAGAGGGAATACGATGGTAGCTGAGAGGGAATACGATGGTAGCAGAGAGGGAATACGATGGTAGCTGAGAGGGAATACGATGGTAGCTGAGAGGGAATACGATGGTAGCAGAGAGGGAATACGATGGTAGCTGAGAGGGAATACGATGGTAGCAGAGAGGGAATACGATGGTAGCAGAGAGGGAATACGATGGTAGCTGAGAGGGAATACGATGGTAGCTGAGAGGGAATACGATGGTAGCAGAGAGGGAATACGATGGTAGCTGAGAGGGAATACGATGGTAGCTGAGAGGGAATACGATGGTAGCTGAGAGGGAATACGATGGTAGCTGAGAGGGAATACGATGGTAGCTGAGAGGGAATACGATGGTAGCTGAGAGGGAATACGATGGTAGCTGAGAGGGAATACGATGGTAGCTGAGAGGGAATACGATGGTAGCTGAGAGGGAATACGATGGTAGCTGAGAGGGAATACGATGGTAGCAGAGAGGGAATACGATGGTAGCTGAGAGGGAATACGATGGTAGCAGAGAGGGAATACGATGGTAGCAGAGAGGGAATACGATGGTAGCAGAGAGGGAATACGATGGTAGCTGAGAGGGAATACGATGGTAGCAGAGAGGGAATACGATGGTAGCAGAGAGGGAATACGATGGTAGCAGAGAGGGAATACGATGGTAGCAGAGAGGGAATACGATGGTAGCTGAGAGGGAATACGATGGTAGCAGAGAGGGAATACGATGGTAGCTGAGAGGGAATACGATGGTAGCAGAGAGGGAATACGATGGTAGCTGAGAGGGAATACGATGGTAGCTGAGAGGGAATACGATGGTAGCAGAGAGGGAATACGATGGTAGCTGAGAGGGAATACGATGGTAGCTGAGAGGGAATACGATGGTAGCTGAGAGGGAATACGATGGTAGCTGAGAGGGAATACGATGGTAGCTGAGAGGGAATACGATGGTAGCTGAGAGGGAATACGATGGTAGCTGAGAGGGAATACGATGGTAGCAGAGAGGGAATACGATGGTAGCTGAGAGGGAATACGATGGTAGCTGAGAGGGAATACGATGGTAGCAGAGAGGGAATACGATGGTAGCTGAGAGGGAATACGATGGTAGCAGAGAGGGAATACGATGGTAGCTGAGAGGGAATACGATGGTAGCTGAGAGGGAATACGATGGTAGCAGAGAGGGAATACGATGGTAGCTGAGAGGGAATACGATGGTAGCTGAGAGGGAATACGATGGTAGCTGAGAGGGAATACGATGGTAGCTGAGAGGGAATACGATGGTAGCTGAGAGGGAATACGATGGTAGCTGAGAGGGAATACGATGGTAGCTGAGAGGGAATACGATGGTAGCAGAGAGGGAATACGATGGTACCTGAGAGGGAATACGATGGTAGGAGAGAGGGAATACGATGGTAGCTGAGAGGGAATACGATGGTAGCTGAGAGGGAATACGATGGTAGCTGAGAGGGAATACGATGGTAGCTGAGAGGGAATACGATGGTAGCTGAGAGGGAATACGATGGTAGCTGAGAGGGAATACGATGGTAGCTGAGAGGGAATACGATGGTAGCTGAGAGGGAATACGATGGTAGCTGAGAGGGAATACGATGGTAGCTGAGAGGGAATACGATGGTAGCTGAGAGGGAATACGATGGTAGCTGAGAGGGAATACGATGGTAGCTGAGAGGGAATACGATGGTAGCTGAGAGGGAATACGATGGTAGCAGAGAGGGAATACGATGGTAGCAGAGAGGGAATACGATGGTAGCAGAGAGGGAATACGATGGTAGCAGAGAGGGAATACGATGGTAGCAGAGAGGGAATACGATGGTAACTGAGAGGAATTACAATGGTAGCTGAGAGGGAATACGATGGTAGCTGAGAGGAATTACGATGGTAGCTGAGAGGGAATACGATGGTAGCTGAGAGGGAATACGATGGTAGCTGAGAGGGAATACGATGGTAGCAGAGAGGGAATACGATGGTAGCTGAGAGGGAATACGATGGTAGCTGAGAGGGAATACGATGGTAGCTGAGAGGGAATACGATGGTAGCTGAGAGGGAATACGATGGTAGCTGAGAGGGAATACGATGGTAGCTGAGAGGGAATACGATGGTAGCTGAGAGGGAATACGATGGTAGCTGAGAGGGAATACGATGGTAGCTGAGAGAAAATATGATGGTAGCTGAGAGGGAATACGATGGTAGCTGAGAGGGAATACGATGGTAGCTGAGAGGGAATACGATGGTAGCTGAGAGGGAATACGATGGTAGCTGAGAGGGAATACGATGGTAGCAGAGAGGGAATACGATGGTAGCAGAGAGGGAATACGATGGTAGCAGAGAGGGAATACGATGGTAACTGAGAGGAATTACAATGGTAGCTGAGAGGGAATACGATGGTAGCTGAGAGGAATTACGATGGTAGCTGAGAGGGAATACGATGGTAGCTGAGAGGGAATACGATGGTAGCTGAGAGGGAATACGATGGTAGCTGAGAGGGAATACGATGGTAGCAGAGAGGGAATACGATGGTAGCAGAGAGGGAATACGATGGTAGCAGAGAGGGAATACGATGGTAGCAGAGAGGGAATACGATGGTAGCTGAGAGGGAATACGATGGTAGCTGAGAGGGAATACGATGGTAGCTGAGAGGGAATACGATGGTAGCTGAGAGGGAATACGATGGTAGCTGAGAGGGAATACGATGGTAGCTGAGAGGGAATACGATGGTAGCTGAGAGGGAATACGATGGTAGCAGAGAGGGAATACGATGGTAGCTGAGAGGGAATACGATGGTAGCTGAGAGGGAATACGATGGTAGCTGAGAGGGAATACGATGGTAGCTGAGAGGGAATACGATGGTAGCTGAGAGGGAATACGATGGTAGCTGAGAGGGAATACGATGGTAGCTGAGAGGGAATACGATGGTAGCTGAGAGGGAATACGATGGTAGCTGAGAGAAAATATGATGGTAGCTGAGAGGGAATACGATGGTAGCTGAGAGGGAATACGATGGTAGCTGAGAGGGAATACGATGGTAGCTGAGAGGGAATACGATGGTAGCTGAGAGGGAATACGATGGTAGCTGAGAGGGAATACGATGGTAGCTGAGAGGGAATACGATGGTAGCTGAGAGGGAATACGATGGTAGCTGAGAGGGAATACGATGGTAGCTGAGAGGGAATACGATGGTAGCTGAGAGGAAATACGAGTGGAGCAGAGATGAGATGGGAGCGTGGCAGAGGTGATGGGGCCAATGAAGGGAGAGGGCTATGGAAGGGTGGTGGAGAGGGGAGGGTAATGGATGGGGAAGGGCAATGGAAGGGCAAGGGATGGGAAGTAGCTGATGGAAGGGTAGTAGAGGCGAAATGGAAGAGTATTAGAGAGGAAATGGAAAGGTAGCAGAGAGGAGAGGAATACAGCTGTTAATAGTGGTACTAGATGGCCCGAAAACCCTATCATTGGCATTGCATTGAGAAAGCTTGCTTTCTGTTCTTGCAAAGGCAACGGGCTTCATTACAATTGCAGTAATACAATATTCTCGTCCAACTATGGATTGTACAAATGTACAACTAGGGTGGGTGGGTGGGGAGTGGAACTGCAAAGTTCCGAAATGAAGTCGTGGGTGGAGGCCGAATGGCCTCCAACCCTCGTTATGTACTCGGCGAATTGTAATTCGCCGTTGCTTTGCTTCGTTACAGGCAGCTGCGCTTTCACAATACGCATTTTTAGACAGTGTTACACACTTTCGGAAAAAATCCATTTTTACAATCAATACATTTGTGGAGGGGAGAAGAATAGTGTTGGAGTGTGGAGGGTAAAGGAATACAGTTGGAGTGTGGATGGCAGGAGAGAGATACAGTTGAAGTGTGGATGGGAGAGGAATACAGTTGGAGTGTGGAAAGGCCCTTCTTTATCAGGCCATATCAAATCTCTGTAGCCTGATTTCAGGATTGTGCTTGGGTGCCAGCACTGAAAAATCAGATTTAAATACAGGATTGAAATTTCAGCAATATGTTGTATATGCACTGCACATTAACAAATTCGGATACTACTATATTGTACCTGCATGAAAGGATCCTAATGAAAATCATATTGCAAATACTAACTGTTTTGAAAAAAAAAAAATTACATTCTTCCGATATTGGAATTTGCACCCGTCCAGCACAATAACCCGTCACAGTTTTTCCTTAATTATGTGTCAGAAACTAGCAAGAAAGAATGATTGGATTGAACAGAAAGGGAGTACAAGTACTAACCCTAATTGGGTTGTACCCCTTGTGGGCTACCCCACTACAGCCTACATGTTAATTTATATTGCATATCTTATACTGCATATCTCGTGCGCCCTCGTTAGCGCCCTCGCGCGCCCCTCGTTAGCGCCCTCGCGCGCACCCTCGTTAGCGCCCTCGCGCGCCCCTCGTTAGCGCCCTCGCGCGCCCCTTGCTAGCGCCCTCGCGCGCCCCTCACTAGCGCCCTCGCGCGCCCCTCACTAGCGCCCTCGCGCGCCCCTCGCAGTGTCGCCCGCCCGCCGAGCCGCCCGCTCGCAGCCCGCTCGTCCCGCTGCCCGCTTCGCAGCCCGCCCGCCCGCTCGCTGCCCGCTTCGCGGCCCGCCCGCTTCGCAGCCCGCTCGCCCCGCTGCCCGCTTCGCAGCCCGCCCGCCCGCTCGCTGCCCGCTTCGCGGCCCGCCCGCTTCGCAGCCCGCTCGCCCCGCTGCCCGCTTCGCAGCCCGCCCGCCCGCTCGCTGCCCGCTTCGCGGCCCGCCCACTTCGCAGCCCGCCCGCCCGCTCGCTGCCCGCTTCGCGGCCCGCCCGCTTCGCAGCCCGCTCGCCCCGCTGCCCGCTTCGCAGCCCGCCCGCCCGCTCGCTGCCCGCTTCGCGGCCCGCCCGCTTCGCTGCCCGCTCGCAGCGCCGCCCGCCCGCCCGCTACCTGCTTCGCAGCGCCGCCCGCTGCCTCACTGCCCGCTTGCTGCGTCGCCCGCCCGCCCCGCTGCCCGCTTCGCAGCCCGCCCGCCGCGCTTCTCGCCTGCTGCTCCCTGCCTGTGCACCGTCGCTTTCTCCTGCTGTGGCTGCTAGCTTCGCTCTAGCGCGTCCCCTCTGCTGCTGCCGCTGCTCTGCTGTGCCCTCACGCCTGAGCTATGGCCTCTATTCGCGTTCTTTCCTTCGATGCTGAGGGCCGTCCCGTGCAGTTCACTTCCTGGCTCGACGACCTGCAGTTGTATCTTATGAGCAATAGCACGGACCACATCTCCCTCTATGACTACGCGTCTGGTGCTGCCGCTGCTCCTGCTGCCACAGCCGAGCTTAGTGTTCGTTCCCACTGGCAGACTCGTGACGCAGCTGCTCGCCTAGCCATTCGCAGTCACCTGCCGCTAGCTGAGCTCGAGCATTTTGGCGACTGCAAATCCGCTAAGGCCCTGTACGATGCTGTCGTTGCTCGCTACTCCTCGCCTGCCACAGCCGAGCTTAGCCGCCTCATGCTGCCGTACCTGTTCCCCGATCTGTCCACCTTTACTACAGTCGCCGATCTTATCACCCACCTTCGCACTAGTGATGCTCGCCTGCGTGCCGCCCTTCCCACCGAGTTCTGCGCTAAGAACCCCCCTCCACTGTACTGGACACTCCACTTCATAGTCACCCGTCTCCCTGACACCCTCCGCTCAGTTCGAGACCACTTCCTTGCTCGCTGTCCCACTGAGCTCACAGTCGCCCTCCTAGAGGAGCAGCTGCTCGCGGCCGAAAAGAGCATTGTAGCTGTCGGTGCTGCTCGTGGCGCTCCTCGCACCCCCATCTTTGAGGGGTGTTCTCCCTCTCCCCTCGCTCCCTCCTACGCTGCTGCTGCTGCTGTTGACTTCCTTGGTGCTGAGTCTGTTGGCGCTGCTTCTGCTCCTGGTGGGAGGCGCCGCACCGGCAAGGGCAAGGGGGGCAAGGGTGGTGGTGGTGGCGCTGGGGGGGGAGGAGGTGGGGGAGGTGGGGGGGGAGGCGGTGCTGGAGGGAGCGGTGGCGGGAGCGCTGGTGGGAGTGGGGTCGGTGGTGGAGGCGGGGGCGGCGGAGGAAGCAGTGGCAGTAGTGGCGGCGGTGGCGGCGGTGGCGGTGGTGGCGGTGGTGGCGGTGGCGGTCGGAGCGGTGGTAGTGGTGGCGGCGGAGGTCGGAGTGGAGGCACTGGCTCGAGCCAGAGCTCCCAGCAGCAGCAGCGTCCCCAGACGACCCAGCAGCTTCGTGAGTGGCTTGCTCAGCGTGGGACGTCGGGGGGCAGTGGCCGCTGTTCTTATGTCATTCGCACAGGTGACCGCAAGGGACAGACGTGTGGGAGGTTCCACACCCCGTACCGCTGCTTCTCCCGCCTTGACGACGCTTGGCGTGAGGAGATGGGTGCGGATGTTGAGCGCCCCCGCTGGGCTGAGCTCATGAGGGCTGGTGTTGATGTCTTTGCTCTTGACTATGATGCTATTATTGCTGCCATGTATGCATTGACTGTTAGTGCCGAGGGAGACTGTTACTTGTGTGTGCCGCCTGACCCAGGTATAGAGCCCGCTGCCCTGGGTACTAGTGAGTCTGCTCTCTCTGGTATGGTGCCCCCTGTACTTGCTCCCCCCAGTGCTGTCCCGGCTGGTTTCGAGTCTGCTCTCTCAGGTACAGCACCCACAGAGACTGCTCTCTCAGGTACCGCACCGACTGAGGCCTGTCACACCTTCACCCTTGACTCAGGTGCTTCCCGTTGCTTCTTTCGTGACAGTACTGAGCTCACACCGCTTCCTGCACCGGTCCCAGTCTCCTTGGCTGACCCCTCTGGGGGCCCAGTCCTTGCCCAGTCCACCACTGTCCTCCCTTGTCCGGCGGTTCCGTCTGGCTCGTTGTCGGGTTTCCACCTCCCCTCGTTCTCGACGAACCTGGTGAGCAACGCTGTCCTCCAGGATCAGTGGGTTGACACCTTTACCCCTGGCGGACAGCGTGTGGCGATCTGCACGTGCTCCAGGACCGGCCGTCACCTGGCTACATTTACACACTGACCACTGCGTCTCCTCAGGTCGCTGCTGTCGGTCAGGTGTCTGCGTCAGGTCTGGTAGCCCACGCCTGTGAGTGTCGTTCCCTGTCGCACCAGACTCTTCTCTGGCACCACCGCCTGGGTCACCCCTCCTTGCCACGCCTTCGTGGCATGCACCGTCGCCACCTTGTGTCTGGTCTTCCCAGGTCCCTCCCTCCCCTCCCTGCCTCGCCTGCGCCGCCTTGCCTTCCTTGCGTCGAGGGGCGGCAGCGCGCCGCTCCTCACTCCTCCTTGTTCTCCTCGACAGAGGCTCCTCTGCAGACCCTCCACCTGGACGTGTGGGGCCCAGCCCGCGTTCGTGGTCAGGGCGGTGAGCGGTATTTTTTGCTGGTTGTCGACGACTACTCGCGTTACACCACGGTCTTCCCCTTGCGCACCAAGGGTGAGGTCCCTGCTGTTCTGATCCCTTGGATCCGCACGGTTCGTCTCCAGCTCCGCCGCCGTTTCCGGACGGATCTTCCTGTCCTGCGTCTGCACTCTGACAGAGGTGGTGAGTTTTCCTCCGATCTCTTGAGGACCTTCTGTCAGGCGGAGGGCATCGAGCAGACCTTCACGCTTCCGGACTCCCCACAGCAGAATGGGGTTGCTGAGCGCCGCATTGGCCTGGTCATGGAGGTCGCTCGTACCTCCTTGGTCCACGCGGCGGCTCCCCATTTTCTGTGGCCGTTTGCTGTCCGGTACGCCGCGCATCAGCTCAACCTCTGGCCCCGTGTCTCCTTGCCGGAGACCTCGCCCACACTGCGTTGGACGGGGGAGGTTGGCGATGCGTCGCGCTTCCGGGTGTGGGGCTCCCGTGCCTTTGTCCGCGATACCACCGCGGACAAGGTCTCCTCTCGCGCCATTCCCTACGTCTTCCTTGGCTTTCCCCCTGACACGCCTGGCTGGCAGTTTTACCACCCCACCTCGCGCCGTGTCTTCGCGTCCCAGGACGTCACCTTTGACGAGTCGGTTCCCTTCTACCGTCTCTTCCCCTACCGCACTGCCCCTCTTCCCCCCCCGCCGCTCTTCCTCGCTCCAGGTCCCCCTCCGGTAGACCCCCTCCCCCCTCAGGGTCCTGCTCCTTCAGATGTGTCACAGGTAGACCCACTTCCCTTGGCTGAGCCTGTCGAGGTCACTGGTGACTCAGGTGCTGCTGGGGGTGGTCCTGCTCGGGGTGCTGCGCATGGAGGTACTGAGCCTGAGCGTGCGAAGCCTGGGGGTGCTGAGTTTGAGCGTGCAGCACCTGGGGGTGCTGAGCCTGAGCGTGCGGAGCCTGAGGGTGCTGAGCCTGGAGGATGCCCTCCCCCTGACAAAAGTCCTGCAAGAGGTCGGAGTAGAACTCACCACCTCTGTCAGAGGGCAAACCCAGGACAGGAAAGTCCGTGCGGAACCGCTCGCGGAGCTGGAGACGAACAGCGCAGATCCAAGGGATCAAAACAGCAGGGACCTCCCCCTTGCTGCGCAAGGGGAAGACCGTGGTGTAACGCGAGTAGTCGTCAACAACCAGCAGAAAGTACCGCTCGCGGCCCTGTCCACGGACACGGGCTGGGCCCCACACGTCCATGTGGAGAGTCTGCAGGGGAGCAGTCGTCGGGGGAAACGAGGAGGAGTGAGGAGCGGCGCGCTGCCGCCCCTCGACGCAAGGAAGGCAGGGCGGGGCAGGCGAGCGCGGGAGGGGGGGCAGAGACCTGGGAAGGCCAGAAACAAGGAGGCGGGAGTGCATGCCACGGAGGCGTGGCAGGGAGGGGTGACCAAGGCGGTGGTGCCAGAGGAGATTCTAGTGCGAAAGGAGGCGACACGAACAAGGGGCTGACAGCTGACCTGACGCAGACACCTGACCAGACGCAGCGACCTGAGGAGGCTCAGTAGTCAGTGTGTACAGGCTCGACCCAGGCCGACGGGTGAACGTGGCCAGGTGACGGCCCGTCCGTGCACACGTGCAGATCGCCACATGCTGTCCTCCAGGGGTAAAGGTATCAACCCCAGCATCCTGAAGGACGGCGGTACTCACCAAGTTCGTAGAGAACGAGGGGAGGTGAAGACCTGTCAATGAGCCATACGGAATCGCCGGACACGGGAGAACAGTGGAGGAACGTGCAAGAACTGGGCCCCCGGAGGGGTCAGCCAGAGAGACTGCAACAGGTGCAGGGAGTGGTGTGACTGTGGTATTGTCGCGAAAGAAACAGCGGGAAGCACCTGAGTCAAGTGTGAAGGTGTGCAAGGCCTCAGCAGGCGCAGTACCAGAGAGAGCGGACTCACTAGCACCTTGAGCAGCAGCCTCTATGCCAGAAAGAGCAGACTGGCTAGCACCTAGAGCAGCAGCCGCTATACCTGGGTCGGGCGGCACACATAGGTAGCAGTCACCCTCAGTATCAGCAGGCAAAGCATACATGGCCGTAAGGATAGCGTCATAGTCTAGAGAAAAGATATCCACACTGCGCCGATGCAGCTCTAACCAGTGGAGGAGCTCAGCCGCATCGCCAAACTCTGCGCGCCAGGCGTCGCTCAGATAGGCGAAGCAGCGGGACTGTGTGTGGCCAAATGTCCCGCAGGTCTGACCAGCCCGATCACCTGTGCGAATGACGTACGGGCAGCGAGCAGTACACCCAGACTTCCCACGCTGCGCTAACCACTCACGAAGCAGCTGAATCATAAGGGTCTCTCACGACGCCGCTGCGTCTGCATCTGGCCACCGCCAGAAACTCCCCACTGAACAGCTCCACCGCGACTGCTACTACGGCCGCCGCCACCACTCCCACTGCTGCCACCACCGCCGCCACCAATCCCACCGCTACCACGAAGAGAAGTCATAGCGGGCAAACCGAGGAGGCGTGCGACCAGTAGGGCAGCACTCAGAGAAGGCAGGGCGGCGAGCAGACACTAGAGTAGCGTGTTGGGTAAGGCAGGACGCGTACGGCCAGAGACGGGCGGTGCACGACCAAGGAGGGCGGCGGTCGGTCAGCAGAGCTGAGCGCGGGTTGCGGAGGGCGGCGCGACGGCAGGGGCGAGCGCGGGCTGCAGGGGCGAGCGCGGCTGCAGGGGCGAGCGCGGGCTGCAGGGGCGAGCGCGGGCTGCAGGGGCGAGCGCGGGCTGCAGGGGCGAGCGCGGCTGCAGGGGCGAGCGCGGGCTGCAGGGGCGAGCGCGGCTGCAGGGGCGAGCGCGGGCTGCAGGGGCGAGCGCAGGCTGCAGAGGCGAGCGCGGGCTACAGTGGCAACGCGACGGGCAGGGGCAGGGCGGACGGACAACGCGACGGGCTGGGGCAGCGCGTACGGGCGACACGACGGGCCAGGGCAAGGCGTACGGGCGACACGACGGGCCAGGGCAGGTCGTACGGGCGATGCGGCGGGCTGGGGCAGCCCGCACGGGCGACGCGACGGGCAGCAGGGGCACGCGGCGTGATGGGCAGCAGGGGCGCGCGACGCGACGGGCAGCAGGGGCGCGCGACGCGACGGGCAGCAGGGGCGCGCGACGCGACGGGCAGCAGGGGCATGCGCGGGGCGTGCGATGCAGGGCAGGGCAGGGCGTGCGCGGGGCAGCGCGACGCAGGGCAGGGCGTGCGCGGGGCGGCGCAGCGCAGGGTAGGGCAGGGCGTGCGCGGGGCGGTGCAGCGCAGGGCAGGGCAGGGCGTGCGCGGGGCGGCGCAGCGCAGGGTAGGGCAGAGCGTGCGCGGGAAGCGCGACGCAACGCAAGGCAGGGCAGGGCGTGCGCGGGGCGGCGCAACGCAGGGCAGGGCAGGGCATGCGCGTGTGGTGGGGCAGCTTGATGTGAAAATTAGAACGAGGAATGATGCATTGAGCAGCATGAGGAGTACAAGTACCAAACCCTAAAATGTTGTACCCCATATAAGCTACCCCACTACAGCCTACACAGACTATAGTGTATGAGTTTGACACACCCCCATAGGCAAAGTGGGGGAGAACAAGGGGTCACAAGACCAGTCAAGCAAAGCAAGGCAAAGCAAGCTCAGGGTGGATCACAACGTCACCACACAGTCTGAGCACAAGTTCAAGGCCACAAGGCCAGTTCACATGCAAGATTACATATATATAGCGCAAAACAAGCAAGGGCAGGTATATATATGTAACAGAGTACAGAAGCAAGGCCACGTAAGCAAGGCGCAGCTGACCACGCTGCTGCAGCTCACGAGCAAGGAAGTAGCGAAGAGCGATGTGCTTCGTTCTGTGCTCCAGTCTGTGCTCCCGACACAAGGCCAGCATGGCCTTGTTGTCTACGTACAGCACTGGAGGAGAACGAGGCGGCTCTCCCAGGTCAGTCAGCAGGTAGGTGAGCCAGCGTAGCTCCTGTGCAGCCATGGCCCCTGCGTAGATCTCAGCCTCACAACTGGAGCTAAGAACAGAAGACGAGCGGGTAGACCGCCACGAAACAGAGCCAGAACCAAGACTGAAGGTGTAACCCTGTGACGACCGCTGCGTAGCCTGGTCGTCAGCCCAAGAAGCGTCTGCGTGACCAGTGAGGACCACTGGACTCTGCCCTCCAAGCACAAGCCCCATGCCCGACGTACTGCACAAGTAGCGCAACACCCTCTTTGCTGCAGCCATGTGCTCTGGTCTGTGTCTCCCAGGAGCAACATAGCGTGCCAGAATGCTAAGAGGGTACGCAAGGTCAGGTCGAGTCCAACAGAACAGCAGCGGAAGCAATAGGGTGGGCCCATCCACAGGATCGACCAGGGAGGGTCGACCTGCTCTGATAGCATGTCAGAATGAACAGCAGAAATGTAAACAGAAAGAAGAGGGATTGCACTAGTAGACAGAGGGGATACAAATACGAAACCCTAACAGGGATGTACTCACTATTGAGTACCCCACTGCAGGCTAGACAATATAACATTCTGACATGCCTTCCCCATAGTCTAGCTCCCGTTGTACAGTTTATCTCCGCACTTCCCCCCTCCCCCGTGCGACGCCCCACCTCTTGCCACTTGCAGGTTTCCTCACTGTTTCTTCACACCTGCCGTTTTGTGGCCGAAGTGCTGTCATAGTACCGTAATTCTATAGGTGGATAGGGGAGAGTCCCTCTTTTCTTAAAAATCTCAGCCCTGGTCTGAAGCTTGAACAGACTTCAAATGAATGGTGGTAACGAGCAACAGTGGCAAGTCGCATGTTACCGGCATGCTTGCAACTAGAGGGCTAATCGGTGAGTTTGGAATGACAATCTTTGGGATTCAAATGTTTTAGATTTGCAAAAAAATATCCTGCACTGTTACCTTACCTGTCCTTTGATGTTTACGAATGTCAACTTCAGCAAGAACAGATGAACATTGGACTACATTTTATAAAGAAAATGTACCGTACGACGATGCAAGTGCTGTACAAGACAATTGACTTGACAGCCTTATCTGTCTCGACGCACGGGTTTCTCAATAACACAGTTCAAATAAACATGCATGCCCTTCCGCTCTCCACTGTCGGGTTTAGGAGTGACGTTCCAATGAAGCTTTTTGTACTGTAGCTGCTCGACTATTGCGATATAGAGTGGCATTTCATCAAGAGGCGCGTAGAACATTTCAAACCACATGACTCCACCTGCAGTTTAATGGAGTGGGTTGGCAAGTGGAAGAGTCAGAGGAACCAAACTTAGAAACTTGCACAAGTTCAGTTCAGTGCACTGAAATTTTGAAAAATGCCAAGTAGTCGCCCATCTTTTCGTTAAACGATGGGAATATTTTTCCATGAAAAGTGGGTGAGAAAAACTCAGGGAGTCACAGGTGACGGCATGCTGTCGTGTCTCAAGACCTTCACATCGAAAGCCCACCATAGCCATGACATCAGGTTCTCTTGAAACTCAATATAAAGCAGGCAATGGTAAGCACAATACATGGAAGAAGGATTTAAGAGAAATGCAGACAACCAAAAAAAAATAATAATAATAAAGGAGAAAAAATGCTTTCCACTCACCGACTCGACTCGAAGCACCCTGTCCCATTCGAAGATGAGCTCCTCAAATGCACTCCAACACCGGGAGGTACTTGATGCTGTTGATGCGCACACGCACACGCACGCGTTGCGCGCGCGCACACACACACACGCGCACGCACGCACGCACATGCACTTTCCCACTCACCGACTCGCAGAACCCTGTCCCATTCGAAGATCAGCTCTTCAAATTCCAACACAGGGAGATACTTGATGCTGTTGACGCAATGCACGAGATCTAGTGTGTTGTCAAAGAGAGGTAAACGCGCCTGTGTGGGGGAAGGGGTGGGGTAGGGGGGAAGGAGACGAAAACAAGCTTAAACACAGGATGGTACTTGATGCTGTTCACGCAATGCACGAGATCTAGAGTGTTGTCAAAGAGAGGCAAGCATGCCTGTGTGGGGAAAGGAGAGGGGAAAGAGAGGGAGAGAATAAGAACATGTGTCAACACAGGGAGGTACTTGATGCTGTTCACACAATGCACGAGATCTAGTGTGTTGTCAAAGAGAGGCAAGCGTGCCTGTGTGGGGAAAGGGGTGGGAGAGGGGAAGAGGAAGAGAACATGTGTAGACACAGGGAGGTACTGTATGCTGTTGACGCAATGCACCAGATCTAACGTGTTGTCAAGGCGTGTGCTACCCACTCGCACAGTACCTTGTGTGGTAACCGCGCACAGTACCTTGTGCGGTAACCAGAGGGGGATGAGCCCCCGGTGAGCCAGGGTCTCCATATAAGGCAGCCCGCCTGTCCTCCCTGCCACCGTCTCAACATTCATGGCTGTTGTGAGAATCGTCACGTTGTATAGCGCCATGTGTGCTGCAAATGTTCCCGTGCCGCCGCCCGCGTCCAGCCCGAGCCTGCGGGTGGAGAGAAGGCAGGAGCAGAGGTTGGGATGGCTGCATGGTGCAGGACAATGCTAACGTTCCTGTGCAAACGTCCCCGTGCCTCCGCCTGCGTCTAGCCCGAGCTTGTAGGTGGAGAGAAGGGAGGAGCAGAAAGTCACTGCATAGTCGCTTTTGAGAATTCTCAAAAGCGACTCAAAAGAGAATTCTCAAAAGCGGCTGCAGTGCAAAGCAGTCATCGCATCGAGCCATCAACATTCATGGCTGTCGTGAGAAGAGAATCGTCACGTTGTATAGCGCCATGTGAGCAGCAAATGTCCCCGTGCCTCCGCCCGCGTCCAGCCAGCCCGAGCCTGCAGAAGGGAGCATAGAAGGAGGAACAGTAGCAGTCACTATGGTATGTGGTCTTGGGCAATGTGCTAATGTCCCCGTGCCTCCACCCACGTCTAGCCCAAGCCTGCAAGAGGGAGAGTAGGCAGGAGCAGACCGGCATGAGCAGTGGCTGGGTTGGCTACATGGTGTAGGGCAATGTGCTAATGTCCCCGTGCCTCCACCCGCGTCTAGCCCGAGTCTGCATGAGAGAGTGCAGGCAGGAGCAGTGGTTGGTGTGGAATGTGGATCTAGATGGAGTGATTTTGAGGAAGTGAGTGATTTTGAGAATTCTTGCGAGTGATTTTTGAGAATTCTTGCGAGTGATTTTTGAGAATTCTCAAAAATCACTCGCAGTGGTTGGTGTGGAATGTGGATCTATATGGAGTGATTTTGAGGAAGTGTGATGAGATCCACTCAGGGCATGCAGAGCTTTAATTTTCTTATAAATAAATAAATATTCTTCTTAGCCACTCAGGGTTTCGTGTGAAACCCACTCTCATCTCACCTCACCACACTTTCGTGTGGACATGGGTTGCAACCCTCGGAACCCTGCTCTCACCTAGAGATGAGCATTTGCCCCGCGCGGGTCGGGCCGGCCCGACCCGACCCGTGGTTTAGCCCAGGTCGGGTCAGTGGTTTCACTTGCCTGCCCTGTGCGGGCCGACCTGAAGGGCGTTTTTTTACAACTTCGCGTTTTTTTTAGCGATACTTCAATTCACAGGCTGCACGCCTCGTTTGAGGCCAGCAGTTGTTCATAGGCGCGCCAGCAACTAACATTGCACCATTTCGTAGAGGTTCTTAGGGGCCGCGTGCACGGTGTAGGGGCGGCCGCGGGCAAAGGTGCTGGCGCCAGGGTATGGCCGGGTCATCCTGGCCCGACCCGACCCGTACCCGGGTCCAAGTTGACCCAAGTGAGTAGGCCCGGGTCGGGCCAGAACCTTCAGGACCCTGGCCCGAGCCCGGCCCGGCCTGACCCGACCCGACCCGGGAGTCCGTGTGGCCCGGCCAGGTCGGGTCGGGTCGGGTCGGGCCGGGCCGGGCTGGTTGCTCATCTGAGTAAGAATGGACAGCGGCCCTCGAGCCCCCCCCCCTGCCATCTGCCATCTCTTCTGCTCCAGCTTCTGAGCACAGCCCAACCCATCCGCCTCTCACCTCAGTGACCCTTGCTTCATCTTGATGACGACGGGAGTGGGCAGCGACCCTCGGAACCCGCGCTGTCATCGTGAGTGAGGTTGAAACAGTTGCAACAGTCCCCCACCCATCCGATACAGTGCCTACTTGCCAAGACAGCTTCTCAACGATCCTCCCTCCCTCCCCTCACCTCAACGACCCTTGCTTCATCTTGATGACGACGGGAGTGGGCAGCGACCCTCGGAACCCGCGCTGCCATCGTGAGTGAGGTTGAAACAGTTGCAACAGTCCCCCACCCATCCGATACAGTGCCTACTTGCCAAGACAGCTTCTCAACGATCCTCCCTCCCTCCCCTCACCTCAACGACCCTCGCTTCATCTTGATGACGACGGGAGTGGGCAGCGACCCTCGGAATTCTCCCGCGCTGCCATCGTGAGTGAGGTTGAAACAGTTGCAACAGTCCCCCACCCATCCGATACAGTGCCTACTTGCCAAGACAGCTTCTCAACGATCCTCCCTCCCTCCCCTCACCTCAACGACCCTCGCTTCATCTTGATGACAACGGGAATGGGCAGCGACCCTCGGAAGCCGCGCTGCCATCGGTTCTTCTCGAGAGCGAGGTTGAAGCAGTTGCGACAGTCGCCCACCACGCGCGTGTTCAGGCAGGTGAATGACTTGCATGAGTGTAGGCTCCACCGCACGTTCTCGTCCTTTAGCGCAGACTGCGTGAAGAGAGACGCTGGGAAGGGAAGGGGCTGGGAGGAATTACGGGGGTGAAGATGCAGGCAGATGGGTGGGAAGGGGAGGAAGCAGGGGGTTGCGGTGGGAGTGATTAGGAATCCAATCAGTCCCCCACCACATGCGTGTTGCGGCAGGTAAAAGACTTGCACGAGTGCAGGCTGCACCACGGTCCACCGCACGTTCTCGTCCTTTAGTGCTCCCTGAGTGAACAGTGCTGCAGGGAACGGCAGGGGCTGGGAGGTGGGGCGGGCGAGCAAGGTGAGAGGAGGGTGGTGAGAGGAGGGTGGTGAGAGGAGGGTGGTGAGAGGAGGGTGGTGAGAGGAGGGTGGTGAGAGAAGATAAAATTGAAGGATTGAAAGTCCCTCGGTCTAGGTGCAGCATACCTCGGTCAATCTTCAACATACCTCAGTCAGTCTAGGTTCAACGTCAACATACCTGTCCAGATTCAACATAACTCGGTCCACCTCTGGTTGGTGCGGACCATGCAGCGGCGTTTGGGCAGCGCGAAGCAATTGTTTGTGGGTGAATATGAGCGCTTGCGTCGCCAGCCAGTCCAGATTCAACGTACTCAGTCCATCTCTGGTTGGTGCGGACCATGCAGCGGCGTTTGGGCAGCGCGAAGCAATTGTTTGTGGGTGAATATGAGCGCTTGCGTCGCCAGCCAGTCCAGATTCAACGTACCTCAGTCCATCTCTGGTTGGTGCGGGCCATGCAGCGGCGCTTGGGCAGCGCGAAGCAGTTGTGGGTGAATATGAGCGCCTGGGTGGCCATCCAGTCATCGGGGCAGAGCCGGTTTGGGTCGTACTCGAGAAATGAGTAGATGTCATCGTCCGATGCATCACATGCATAGCCCTGTGAAGGGAAGAATGAAGAGTGCAGGGAGGAGGGGGCGCACAGCCGGTTGGGCCTGCCTGTACTCTAAAAAGGAGAAGATCTCGTCGCCAAATGGGTGCATAAAACGGAGGAGGAGAGAGAGGAGAGATAAGAAAGGGAGAGACAGGAGAGGAGGATGAGAAGGGGGAGGACAGAAGAGAGGATGGAGAGAGCGAGTGGGAAAGAAATGGAGGACGGAGAGAGGACGCAGAATGATGAGCCATATCCACCTTCCATACTCGCAATTCAGAGCAATAATCAGCCTGAACCTAAGTACTGCCGCTCACTGGAGAATGTCCGAGGATCTGCTACCACCTTCCATACTCGCAATTCAGAGCAATAATCAGCCGCCACAAGGGCAATAACAGGCAATAAACTCCTTTCATAGGGGCAATCCTGAGCTATACCCACTTTCCAGAGGGGCAATACTGCACAGTACCCACCTTCCATAGGGGCATTAAGGAGTAATACCCACCTTCCATCATTGTACTTTCTTTGACGCGACAACAGCACCATTGGCAGTGCAGGGACAATAATGAGCAATCCCACGGTCTCACCTTCCAAAGGGGCACTATTGAACCATACCCACCTTCTAAAGGGGCAATAGTGAACCATACCCACCTTCCAGAGTTGTACTTTCTTTGTCGTGACAACAACACCATTGGCTGTACATGAAGCTATAGCACGACGCGCATCCTCCATCCTCTGTAAAGCCAATCACACCGCACAGCACCGCACCACACCACAATAAACCACGTAAGACCACATCACACCACCCCACACCACCCCACCAAACCACACCACATTACACCACGCCGCACAACACCGCATGAAACCGCATCACACCACGTCAAACGAAATCACACCATAGTACATTGAAGTCCAAAGAGAAAGAACGCAGTGCAGTCAAGGAGAAAAACGTCAGAACAATTCAACCAGAGGTCAACTGAAAGTCGCACCCCATGCCCCATAGCCCATGCCCCATTGCCCATAGCCCATGCCCCATGCCCCATAGCCCATGCCCCATGCGCATGCACCATGCCACATGCCCCATGCACCATGCGCAATGCAACATGCGCCGCCATGCATTATGCGCCATGCAACATGCCCCATGCCCCATGCCCCATGCCCCATGCCCCATGCACCATGCCCCATGCCCCATGCACCATGCCCTTTGCCCCATGATTCACCTGTGCTGGCAGCAGGCGGTCATTCCAATCAACAGTGGTCTCTGAGAGAGCATAGTCCAGCAGGAGAGTCGGCTATAGAGTATCCATGCCACCATGCCATGCCATGCCATGCCATGCCACCATGCCATGCCATGCCATGCCATGCCACCATGCCATGCCATGCCATGCCATGCCACCATGCCATGCCATGCCATGCCATGCCACCATGCCATGCCATGCCATGCCATGCCACCATGCCATGCCACCGTGCCATGCCGCCACCAACAACTCACTCACCTGTGCTCCCACCAGCCGGTCGTTCCAATCAACTGTAGTCTCAGAGAGGGCATAGTCTAGCAGAAACTTTTGGTAGTTCACTCGGCCCACAGTGCGCTGCAGCATCGGTAGTTACGGGGTTACAGGGTTACAGAATGACAAAGGGGTGTGGGTAAGGCATTGAGTTCCACACTCAGCGCATGGTCTCTGAAAAAGCATAGTCCAGCAGAAACTTCTGGTAGTTCACTCGGCCCACCGTGCGCTGGCATGTGGGTAGGCACAATGACAGAGGTACAGGGAGGGAGGGAGGGAGGGAGGGAGGGAGGGAGGGAGGGAGGGAGGGAGGGAGGGAGGGAGGGAGGGAGGGAGGGAGGGAGGGATGGGTGGGTGGGTGGGTGGGTGGGTGGGTGGGTGGGTGGGTGGGTGGGTGGGTGGGTGGGTGGGTGGGTGGGTGGGTGGGTGGGTGGGTGGGTGGGTGGGTGGGTGGGTGGGTGGGTGGGTGGGTGGGTGGGTGGGTGGGTGGGTGGGTGGGTGGGTGGGTGGGTGGGTGGGTGGGTGGGTGGGTGGGTGGGTGGGTGGGTGGGTGGGTGGGTGGGTGGGTGGGGGATGGATGGATGGATGGATGGATGGATGGATGGATGGATGGATGGATGGATGGATGGATGGATGGATGGATGGATGGATGGATGGATGGATGGATGGATGGATGGATGGATGGATGGATGGATGGATGGATGGATGGATGGATGGATGGATGGATGGATGGATGGATGGATGGATGGATGGATGGATGGATGGATGGATGGATGGATGGATGGATGGATGGATGGATGGATGGATGGATGGATGGATGGATGGATGGATGGATGGATGGATGGATGGATGGATGGATGGATGGATGGATGGATGGATGGATGGATGGATGGATGGATGGATGGATGGATGGATGGATGGATGGATGGATGGATGGATGGATGGATGGATGGATGGATGGATGGATGGATGGATGGATGGATGGATGGATGGATGGATGGATGGATGGATGGATGGATGGATGGATGGATGGATGGATGGACGGATGGATAGATGGTCTTGACTCTCACAGGTTTGAGCTTATGCGTTTAATGATAACATTTACCTGCTCTTAGGTTTTATTTGATTTGATTTGACTAAATTTGATTTGATTTGACTAAATTTGATTTGATTTGATCTCACCTGCATCTCCTCGATCTGCACTTGAGTCGCCCGCAGCTGCACCGCCTTGGCAGCCAGGTGGGCTCGGAGGGCGGCAACGCTCGTCTCATTCTCGGCGCAGGCGGCACTGGGGTTGAGATTGGGAGTTCTGTACGAGTGACTCAGCAGCCTACGCACAGAGGCTGATTCCGCTGCAGCTGCTGACGCTGTTGTTGCTGCCGGGGGTGCATCAAGATGCCTCTGCATGCTTCTCCTTCTGCTGTTACTGCTGCCGACGCCGCCGCCCCCGCTGCTGCCACTGCCACTGCTGATGCTAAGCTCTTTGTCTCTTCTCTCGTCTACACTGAGCAGAGAGCGAGTGGCGGCATGCAAACTACTCAGCACTTGCAGTTCCTCCGGCCCTCTATGGGTTGCAGTTGCAGCGCTGGCAGACTGTGGCAACAGCGTTGCATGTTGGGCGTTGGAGGTCTGAGTTCGAATCTCTGAGCTGGAGGAGTGGAGTAACGGCAGATTCTTGTGTGTGGTGGTGGCAGTGGCGGTGGTACCGGTGGCTGACGTGGCAGATGACGTGGAGAAATGAGTTTGTGCAGCTGAGCTGGCAGTTGCTGCTGGGTCAGCTCCCAGCTCTGAGATTAGCAGTGAAATGCATTCGATACATGTGGATGCTTACATAAGTGTGGTGCACAGGCTAGTGGTAAGACAAACAGAAGAAATGACAGAAGAAACAACAGAAGAAGGAATAGAAGAAGGAATAGAAGAAGGAACAGACGTCCCGGGACAATACAGAACCGAATGCAACGACTAAGGAACCCAAATTCCCAAACCCGGAACCCTTTAACCCCTTCTCCCTGCTCACCTTCCCTCCATTCCCTTAGTCTCTGGAGCTCGTCTAAGCACCTCTGCTGCTCCTCCCGCCTTTCCCCGCAATGACGAAGGAGGGACGTTCGGTGCAAAGGGAGGATCAGGGTGGGGAGGGGGAGGGAGGAAGAGGGGGAGGGGGGGGGGGGGGGGGAGTGTGGGGGGGAGGGTGCGGAAGACAAAAGGTGAGACAGGGAGGTAGGGGCAAAGTTGGGGAAGGGGGGAAAGCCGAGGAAGGGAGGGAAGAGGGGAGGGGCGCGGAAGGGGGGACGAGAAGGCGTGGGGCGGGGAATGGAGGGGAAGCGGGGGAAAATGGCGGAAACATGGCGATGCATGGCGAAAGCTATCAGTTGCGAAATTTTATTTCCGCGAAATCCTCCGTATAAAGCTCGAGACTCTAAGAACTTTTGAAGAGGTTCCGATAATATGTATAAGGCTCCTGAAAAAACAGCTGCGAACCCAAATTACCTCGAGGAGGTAAGCAGTTTCGTGAGTCTCCGAATCGCCGCTCCCAGCGTGATCCCGCCAAGTTCTGACGGGGGCTCCCGAGTCGCGTCAGCGGTGATCCCGCCATGGCTCGACGGGAATTTGTCCAACGCCGCGTGTGAGAGGTCGCCACTCAAGGGTGCGAACATGAGAGTTCCTAAAAACGCTGCTGCGAGAAACGCGGCGAGAAGCGCGGGAAACGACGGCATTGGCTGCGCGGAGAATGACAGGAACCTATGACTTGGCACGGACGGCCAGGATTACTCCCGATCAATGTACGATCGCAGCGTATCAACACAACACGGGAATCATACGTGCTATTGCTGCCACTTGATATGGCAAACTATCCAGAAAAGGAAGTGTCAAAGGCACATTGGGGAAAAGGGCGACTCATGCTGACGCGATTCAGAAAGCTTTCTGATTTATTGCTGAATAACGCTGGATGTAAGATGCCTTACCCACTGAATTAGTACTATGACTACCATAAGAGGTCGCTCATGGCTAATGGACACCAAGAAGTGTGGGAGGAAAAGCCACTTTTCAGACGACACTATCTTTGGTCACTCTAGCTATAGGTCTTGGTGACTCTGGTATGAACTGCAGCTTCGGCGAGAAAATTCACGTATGTTACCCAGCTCGTCGAAACCTGGAGGCGTTCGTCACAACTGCAACGGGTTTCGTTCGAAGTGTCAATTCTTTCCAGTTTGATTGAAAGGCGAGGTTCCCAGGCAGGGATTCGCTAAAGCTAAACGTTTCTGCTATTTCCTGTTCAGATATTGAGGGATTCTTTATTGAGTTTGGGAATAAATCAAGCTAAACTGTTTCTACTATTTCCATGAAAGAGCACGTCATAATCATGCAGTCACGTACGTACAGGATATATTAAATTTCTATAGAAACATCAATATGAAATTTTATTGTTAGATGGGTCACATAGATCCTTGAACAGTAAGTCTATTGCAAAGAACAACATCTTCAGGTTCTGTTGTGATCTAGCCAGTTATAATATTATAACAGACTATGAAGGCGATCATATTGCGGATGATACCGCAATGTGCGCAACTCCAATAATTGTCCCCGGAAACGCGACGCGATGCAATTGGGAACGGATGCCGTGATGCGAGTCGTCGTGACTCCACAACTTCTTCGGCTGCGAACCCTGGGAGCTGCTTTGCGAAAAGTATCTCCCTTCTGCAACATGAAGAAACGAAACGACCTGCGTGCGCGACGTATCCAGCGTGACCCAGCAAGCGAAACTGCCTCAAATGTTGAGCTAAACGGTGTTACCATTCGCTCACTCCAGCTCTCCTTTCCCCCCGTGCAATTCATCTTTGACAATTATCAGAGCAGGTGTGTGTAGGGTCTGCTGAAACTCAGGGCGGGTCCAACTTTGCACATGTACAATTATTTTTCAAGACAGTTACCACATTAAGGCATGTAACAGAACTTCTAACGTACTCACATGCGTTTGACGCGATACTGTACATAACTGATGACAATTCGGAAACGTGCCCCGGAATGTGCGGCACACATCCAAATTTCGACCGGCAATGCATTTCAGACCTCGATTCGCGTCACACAAGTCAAACAGTAACTCATAGTTTTCGCCAGGTGACTTTCGCCATTCAATTCGCCTCTCCGCCACAGGCCCGAGAGACTACCGCCAAACCACCTGTGATATCCGGTAACCCCATCCATGGTACTGTACATTGCATCGATATTGTACCTTGTCAGTCGGCGCAGGTAGCTTGACAAGGAATGTTCGGGGTACATCTTTGGGTACAGTCAAATTTGACGATACCATTGACGTTAAAATTACGAAAAAAACGGAAGTGTGCAAAGTTGGACCCGCCCTCAGAGTCAGTTCAGTAATCTCGACAACCATGACAGCCCCGCAACTTCACGACGCGGCTGCTTCTCTGTGTGGTTTCGACGCCAGACCTGCCGCACTTCTCGCCGGTACTAGATCTGCAATCCTCGCTACATTATATCACACCAGCCAGCTTCAACCAGCATTATTTCGTCGCTAGCTGATACTTCTCGAATCACGTTATCTGCAGCGCGAACCCTCACTCTCGCGCGTTACCATTATTGCGTAGTCCCGTTCCTCGTTATTCCTTCGGATTTCCGCTCAAATTTTACCAGCGAAGCGATGCTAAGCGTACATCACGGTGATTTCACTGCATGAAGCATGGCAGATGACGATTATATCGCCACACTTGTCAGCCGCACCGCACCAATTATCATGCGGTGCGCTTCGTTGTTGGAGCGGAGCGCGTTCGGTACTGTGGTGTATCTGTGGTATCGGTATGGGGGGCAAGAGGAGGGGAATCAGCGTTGGGAGAAAAAGAGGTTGGGGGGTGGGGGGGTGTGTTGGAACAGTGCGGTGCAGTTTCATGGGTTAGCGCGGGTTGCGCGGGTTGCGCGGGCTATCGCAGGTTAGCGCGGGCCGATTCCGCCCAATGAGCCAATCACGACGAACCTAGAAAAGCGCATCGCCCATGATTCCGCCAGATCCGCAGAGTTTTGCGCCTGGACCTGTCAAGGAAACTCTTGAGTCGACTCAAAAGGGCTTGCGCCAGGTCCCACTGGCGCAGCTCCACCGCAGGGATTGCGCCCGGGGGTGGAAATTGGTGCGCGCACCGTTGGCGCAGCTCCGCGGCAGGGTTTTACGCCTGGGGCCGTCCGGAAGGAACGGGAGCGGTCGCGCGTGAGTTGCGTCGGCGGGGATGACGGGTCGTAGTAGAGAGGCCGGCGGGGCATAGCGCAAGAGTTTTGAGGCGCCTCAAAAGTTTCGAGGCGCCTCAAGAGTGTGAGCGCGCGTGAGTTGCGCTGGCGAGGATGACGGGTCATAGAGAGCCCAGTGCATGATTCATCGCAGACTCATGGTAGCAAGTGCATAAATACGAGGCTGCAACCAAGCTCGAGCATCGCAATTTCAACGCAACAGCACATAAGTACTCTCGATTCGCCCGTCTGCGCGTCCTTTCAACGGGAGTTCGTCGGTATAGTATCTTTCCAGGAGGCTTTATAGCGTCCACGCTGCGAACCAAAACTTGCTCGTTCTAACAACCAGCAGGGGCGATTCCCACGCAACAGCATCAGCCACAGCTCGTCCGATTCCATTATTCGAGGCGCCTAATAACGAGGATACTTGCAGCATCAGCCATGGCGCGGCGCAGCCCCCGCGCACCGTGCCTCGTCCTTCTCTTGTTCTTCGTCGTTCTCGTCGTCAACCCCGCGCGCGCCGCCTTCCCCTGGCTTCCACGGCGGGCGCTGATGTTTGCCGACGCGCCGAGTCGCCACGGGCTGCGGGGTGTGCCGGCGGCGGCTTCCGCCGACGTCCTGCCGCCGCGGAGGGCGCTGATTTCCGCTGCGGACGTCGAAGGCGCCCCGGAGACGCTTTCCGCGCACGTTCTTGAAGAGGCGATCGCGGATGGCGGAGACGGCATGGCGGAGGGCGGAGGTTGCCTCATGTACCTGATGACTTGTACTCGCCCGGACCTCGCCTTCCCTCTCAGCGTTCTTGCGCGCTTTGTTGCGCCAGGGAGACACCGTCCTGTTCACTGGACAGCAGCTGTGAGGGTGGCGAAGTACCTAGCGACGACATCAGGCGTGGGGCTAGTTCTTGGAGGGCAGCAGTCTGTCGTACTTACTGGTCACTGTGACTCCTCTTACGCTGACGACGCTGAGACTCACAGGTCTACTCAGGGGTACTGTTTCAGCCTGGGTTCTGGAGCTGTTTCCTGGCGGTCCACGCGCTCCTCTTCGGTCTCGACCTCTACAGCTGAGGCTGAGATCTACGCTGGTGCCATGGCGGCACAGGAGCTGCGCTGATGGGGGAGGGGGAGATGAAGGAGGGAGAGGGGATTGAGGAAGGAAGGGTGCTTCAGGAGCAAGGGGAGTCGGAGGAGGTTGGTGCTTCGGAGGGAGAGGACGAGATGCAGGAGGAGGAAGCGGCTGAGGAGGGCAGGGTGCTTCAGGAGCAAGGGGAGTCCGAGGAGGTTGGTGCTTCGGAGGCCGAGGAGGAAAAGGAGGAGATGCAGGAGGGAGAGGGGATTGAGGAGGGCAAGGTGCTGCAGGAAGAGGAAAGAGAGTCCGAGGAGGTTGGTGCTTTGGAGGGAGAGGAGGAAGAAGAGGAAATGCAGGAGGGAGAGGAAATTGAGGAGGGCAGGGTGCTGCAGGAAGAGGAAGGAGAGTCCGAGGAGGTTGGTAATCTGGAGGCAGAGGAGGAAGAAGAGGAGAATGAGGAGGAGGGGGAGATGCAGGAAGGGAGGGCACTGACGGAGCAAGACGACGGTGAGGAGGGGGGCGAGTGGGATGGGGATGCTGAGGAGGAGGAAGAAGAGGAGATGCAGGAGGGGAGGGCTCTGATGGAGCAGGACGGTGCTGAGGAGGAGGGTGAATGGGACGAGGAAGAGGAGGAGATGCAAGAGGGAGAGGGGATGCAGGAGGGGAGGGCGCTGATGGGGGACGACGGAGATGAGGAGGAGGTTGGTGCTTTGGAGGCTGGGGAGGAAGAGGAGATGCAGGAGGGGAGGGCGCTGATTGGGGACGACGGAGAGTCGGAGGAGGAGGAGGTTGGTGCTTTGGAGGCCGGGGAGGAGGAGGAGGAGGAGGAGGACGAGGAGGAGGAGGAGGAGATGCAGGAGGGGAGGGCTCTGGCAGAGCAGGAGGGTGAATGGGACGAGGATGCTGAGTGGGACGAGGACGCTGAGGCGGAGGAAGAGGAGGAGATGCAGGATGGAGAGGAGATTGAGGAAGGCAGGGTGCTGCAGGAGCAAGGAGAGTCCGAGGAGGCAGAGGAGGAGATTCAGGAGGAGCAAGAGGATTTTGGTGATGAGGAAGAGGAGGAGATGCAGGAGGAGCAAGAGGGCAGGGATTTGGCTGAGATCGACGATTCTGAGGGCGAGGAGGTGGAAGAGGAGGACGAGGCAGAGATGCAAGATGAGGAGGAGGGGGAGGAGGGGCGGGCTTTGGCCGAGATAGATGATTCTGAGGGTGAGAATGAGGATGAGGAGGAGGAGGCAGAGATGCAAGATGAGGAGGAGGAGGGGCGGGCTTTGGCCGATCTTGACGATTCTGAAGGTGTGAATGAGGATGAGGAGGAGGACGAGGAGGAGGGCAGGGCTTTGGCAGAGATTGACGATTCTGAGGGTGAGAATGAGGATGATGAGGAGGAGGAGGAGGAGGCAGGGATGCAGGAGGGGATGGAGGAGGATGGTAGGGTGCTTCTTGCAGGAGAGGGTGAGGAGGGCGAGGAGGGAGAGGAGGGGGGTGAGGAATTCGAGCAGCAGGTGGTTGACTCAGAGGAGGGGATGGAGGAGGATGGGAGGGTGCTGCTGGCAGGAGAGGAGGGTGAGGAGGGAGAGAGTGATGGGAGTGCGGAGGAAGAGCAGTGGGCAGAGGAAGGGAGTGAGGAGGAGGGGATTGAGGAGGAGGGGATGGTGGATGTGGCTTAGACAGCGACGGGGCGTCAGAGTTTCAGGTGAGTTTAAAGCCAACGCAACAGTGACGCACGAACTTCCAGAATTGTTGGTGGACACGACTAATGCACGAGTCTCCACATTTCCTTCTCCCATGCTTTCTCGCAGGTCTTTGATAGAAGTAGTGTTTTGAGACGTCTCAAATCACTACTTCTATCTCCACGCACGAACTTCCAGAATTGTTGGGTGGACACGACTAATGCACGAGTTTCCACATTTCCTTTTTTTTCCGGGAATTCTCCGCAGGTCTTTCTGTTAGAAAGGGCGTCATCAGGCTTCGGGAAAGTCTTTCCTAGATGGCTGAATGAAGGCTGTTGCAGTGGACAAGCATTGAGTTGAGTTGCTGTTTTGAGGCGCCTCAACTCTTTTCTAGATGGCTGAAGAAAGGCTGTTGCAGTGGACAAGCGGACAAGCGGGCAAGCGGACAAACGTGGATTGACAGGGTGGGACAGTGGCCAGGGGTTGGGAGGGACAACCCACAATAAGCTTTTTCTAAGCCAGAATAAGAGCTGAATATGAGCTGCTTTCAGGCAGTTTTGTTTTGGACACCTGCTCCTCTAGTTCAGTTGCACAAGGAGAAGGACTCCTTTCTTTCCTTCTCCTTCCTTTCCTTCCTTCCTCCTTTCCTTCTCTCGTCTGTTTCTCCTCCTCGACCTTTTGCTTACGTAGTGGTATGCTTTTATTGATCAACGTGAGTGGTGTGTGAGTGGTGATTTCAGTGGCTGGTTTGCTGTACTCTCTTTTTATTACCGTATCATTACCCTCTGTTGTGCGCATTTGACTGTTTCGAATGGCTGCATTGAGATTGCAACTATCGTACAATATACTGTACTACAAACTCATGTATAACACTTGGAGGGTACTACTGCACTGCAGCCAATACTCTCTTCCCTGGGGTCCTTACCTCACTCTCTGGGAATTGACGAGTTCCCTGCAAGCAGTAACAAGAAGAATACTGAAGTTATGAGCGCTTCCTGTCAAGATATGAACGTAGTTAGAGACTAGGGTTTAGCTAGGGCCTAGGCTTAGGAGCCTAGGCCCAAGGAGTATCCAAGGGGGTTGAGCCAAGGAGAAAAGAGAATGAGATGGTTTGACTATGGAAGAGCAGGTACAAGTAGAAAAGAACCAGCAAGGAGTGGTGCACCACCACATAGAACACTAGGTAACTACACTACAGCTAGAACTACATGCACTTATACAGACATATATATAAGATATATTGTGACACACCCCCTAAGTGCATGTAGGAATAGCCATTGAGCAGAACACCCCCTGAAGTGGTACACCCTGTAATGAGTAGCAGAAGAAGCGGTGAAGTGAGGAAGAGGAGGGACTGTGAGAGAAGCGGAGATAGGAGGCGACAGGTGAAGCCGCAGTCACACGGGCAACAGGAGCGGCGCGCACAGTGGCTACCGAGAGCACGAGGGCTCCGGACTACTGGCGTTGCTGACGACACGACGGCGACCTCCGCTCAACCTCCCCTAACAGTCCCACACCCCCTTCTCACACACTCCCTTGCTCCACCCCTAGCTCCACTCCCATGACACCCCTCTAACGCCACTCCCTCGGCTCCCACACACCCACCCCCCTCAGCAGCAGCTGCAGCAGTGGGAGACGGAGTAGGAGGAGGAACAGGGAACGGCTCACACACCCGCCACCCCCCATAACCGCCACCCCCATACCCGCCACCCCAAGATCCAAACGCAGGCGGGGCGGGGCGGGTAGCAGCTGGGGCGGCGTGCGAGCGGAAAGGAGGGCGGGGCGCGGGTCCCTGGGGCGCTGCGACGGGCGACGAACAGAGCGGCGACGGGCAGAACGGGCAGCACAGGCAAGGCAGGGCGTGCGCGAGGCAGCGCAGCGCAGGCAAGGCAGGGCGCGCGTGTGGGGCGCAGCGCAGGCAAGGCAAAGCCCGCGCGGGCAGCGCAGCACAGGCAAGGCAGGGCGTGCGCGGTGGGGTGCAGCGCAGGCAAGGCAGGGCGCGCGCGTGGGGCGCAACGCTGGCAAGGGCATCAGCGGGCAGTACAGGCACGGGCAGCACAGGCACGGGCAGCACAGGCACGGGCAGCAACGGGCGGCAACGGGCAGCACAGGCACGGGCAGCAACGGGCGGCAACGGGCAGAGCGGAGGCGGCTGAACCAGGGGCGGCTGCACTAGGGGCGGCTGCACCAGGGGCGGCTGCACCAGGGGCGGCTGCTCCAGGGGCGGCGTCGCTGGTGCAAGGCAGGCCCGCGCGAGGCTGCAAAGCAGGCGCGGGCGCAGGTGAGGCAGAGGCGGCGGCCGGGGGGGGGGGGGCGACGAGCAGGGACGGCGCCCAGGGGGCGCCGCGACGAGCAGGGGCGACGCCCCAGGGGCGCCGCGACGAGCAGGGGCGGCGGCTAGGGGGCGCCGCGACGAGCAGGGGCGACGCCGCGCGGGTCCCGCAGGGGCGTCGCGACGAGCAGGAGCGGCGCCTCGCAGGGCGCCGCGACGGGCAGGGTACGGGCGGGCAGAACAGGCCCGCGCGCGGACGTGGGGCAGGCGCGCAGGCGGCGTGAGGGCAGGCCGCGCGCGGGGCAGGAAGACGCCGCGCGCCTCGGGGCGCACGGCGGGCAGAAAACCGCCGTGCGCTCGGGCAGAAAATCGCCGCGCGCCCGAGGCGCGCGACACACTGACAGGCAGCGGAAGCGGAAAGGGTAGGTCCTCAGGAACGAAACGCTCTGATACCATGTCAAGATATGAACGTAGTTAGAGACTAAGGTTTAGCTAGGGCCTAGGCTTAGGAGCCTAGGCCCAAGGAGTATCCAAGGGGGTTGAGCCAAGGAGAAAAGAGAATGAGATGGTTTGACTATGGAAGAGCAGGTACAAATAGAAAAGAACCAGCAAGGGGTGGTGCACCACCACACAGAACACTAGGTAACTACACTACAGCTAGAACTACATGCACTTATACAAACATATATATAAGATATATTCTGACACTTCCTTAGCACAAACCAAACAGTAGCTGACTAGTAACGAATCTCCATGCTTCAGCAGCATGCCTCCTGTATCAACTGCCCCGGGGCAGGAAAAAATCCTCGGGCAGTCAAAACCGCCGAAACAACTGTAGTGAGCGCCATAGGCACCAGCAAAAAGAAAGTTACAGTTAACTGAAGATTAACTGCTTCTTGTGGAGGCATCCCCCCCATAAGCATCCCCACCATAGCGCCAGGAAGCTGAATCACACCGTAAGTCTTTATATAGTCTAGTGTCGGCCCAAAGCCCACTGCTACTGCCTTTCGAATGAGGGGAAGGGAGGCCTGCCATTGAGTTGCGCCCAGGGCTAAAGCGGCTTCCACCTGCATTCCAAGTGCGGGGAAGTGCGATGGGAAGAAGTGAGTAAATCACACCGTAGGTTTTCACATAGTTTAGAGTCGGCCCAAATCCCACTGCTACTGCGCCCAATGCTAAAGCGGCCTCTACCTGTATTAGAGGTGTGTTGGAGTGAGATGGGAAGAGGTGAATGACACTGTAAGTTCTTATATAGTCTAGTGTCGGCCCAAAGCCCACTGCTCTGCCTTTTGGATGAGAAAAAGGGAGGCCTGCCGTTGGCTTGCGCCCAAAGCTAGTGCCGCTTCCACCTGGATTGGAGGAGGGAAGTGAGATGGGAGGGAGTGAATCACGCTGTAAGTCGCTATATAGTCTAGAGTCGGCCCAAAGCGCACTGCTACGGCTTCTTGGATGAGGGGAAGGGGGGCCTGCCATTGGCTTGCGCCTAAAGCTAGTGCCTTTCCTGCTACAGCACTTCCCGTTACAGCCCGTCCAGCTACAACTCTTCGTGCTACAGCCCTGCTACAGGTTATCGATGTTCAACTAGAACCCACCAGCCCCCTCCTCTGGCGAGTCGCTGCATGGTGTTGGCAGCAATGGTCATGCTGCTGCCTTCCTGCTACAGCTACTACTGCTACAGCCTATTATGCTACAAGCCACAGTTTTTCGACTCGAACTCACCTGTCCCCTTCTCTGTTGAAAGCCGTCAGCGAGTGGCTGCATGGTGTTGGCGGCAATGGACTGTCAGAAATGGATGGTCAGAAATGGATGGTCAGAAATGGATGGTCAGAAATGGCATCACCTTTTTTCGGTTGTATGGTTAGACACACACCTGCCCCCGCCTCTGCTGAAAATTGTCGGCCAGTCGCTGCATGGTGTTGACAGCAATGGTCATGCTGCTGCCTTCGTGCTTCAGCTACTCATGCTATGAATTTCCCCCCCCCATGCTACAGGTTAAGACCCACCTGCCCCCTACTCTGCTGAAAGTCATCCGCAAGTCGCTGCATGGTGTTGGCAGCAATGGTCATGCTGCTGCCCACCACAATGCCCCCGATGGGAATCACAAACCGCGGCCGCAAGCGAGCCACCTACGATGGGTGTGGTGGGGTGGAGTGCGGTGATAAAGAGAACGAACACAAGAGGGGTTCGGCTGCTGCTGCCCACCACAATGCCCCCAATGGGAATCACAAACCGCGGCCGCACCACCTGCAATGGGTGTGATGCGGTGCAGTACGGTGATTGGGGGACTGAATGAGGATGATGGGAGGAGGGGGTTACATTGCTGCTGCCCACCGCAATGCCCCCGATGGGAATCACAAACCGCGGCTGCAGCCGAACCACCTGAGGACAGAGGGAAGAAGCGAGGTGCAGTACGGTTCTGTGCGGTGAGATGGGATGAGGGGGGTTACATTGCTGCTGCCCACCACAATGCCCCCGATGGGAATCACAAACCGCGGCCGCAAGCGAGCCACCTACGATAGGTGTGGTGGGGTGGAGTGCGGTGATAAAGAGAATGAACACAAGAGGGGTTCGGCTGCTGCTGCCCACCACAATGCCCCCGATGGGAATCACAAACCGCGGCTGCAGCCGAACCACCTGAGGACAGAGGGAAGAAGCGAGGTGCAGTAAGGTTCTGTGCGGTGAGATGGGATGAGGGGGGTTACATTGCTGCTGCCCACCACAGTTCCCCCGATGGGAATCACAAACCGCGGCCGCACCACCTGCAATGGGTGTGATGCGGTGCAGTACGGTGATTGGGGGACTGAATGAGGATGATGGGAGGAGGGGGTTACATTGCTGCTGCCCACCACAATGCCCTCGATGTGAATCACAAACCGTGGCCGCAGCAGAACAACCTGAGTGAAATAATGGGACGAAAGATGAGGCGTGGTGAGATGCAGTGGGGTAAGGTGCAGTGAGGCGTGGTGAGATGCAGTGGGGTTAGGTGCAGTGAGGCGTGGCGAGATGCAGTGGGGTAAGGTGCAGTGAGGCGTGGTGAGATGCAGTGGGGTAAGGTGCAGTGAGGCGTGGTGAGATGCAGTGGGGTTAGGTGCAGTGAGGCGTGGTGAGGGAGGTAGGTGGATGGGAATCACAAGCCACGGCCGCAGGCAAACCAGCTGCGCGAGAAACACGGGATGCAGAGGGATGGTTGTGGGACGAGGAGGGATGGTTGTGGGATGAGGAGGAATGCCACACATACCTGCAAGGCCGCAAGCAGGGAGAAAGCGAGTGTAGCAGCAGTTCCAATCGCCCAGAAAGCCACCCAGAATCCCCTTGCCACGCGCTTGGCTCTCTTCGACGCGGTGTGTGCTGCTGCCAGCACCTGTGGGGTACAGTGGGGTACAGTGTGTTACAGTGGGTTACAGTGGGTTACAGTGGGTTACAGTATGATTGCAATCCACAAGGGCTTTAAGATTGCTCAAAAGACACTCACCATGATTGCCACTCCACAATATGCCACCTCCCAGCTTTCGATGGCAAAGATGTAGTTGAGCCCGAATCCAACAGCTGAGAGCTGCGCAGCTGCTCTTATCCCCGCTACAAGCACATCCGCTGCAGTGTTGGAGTCGATCCAGAGGCAAATGGAAAGCGCCACCAGAAACATCACTATCATTGCAACCTGTCGCTCATGCCCCACGGAGGAGTAACCCCACATTCCGATTTGATTTGATTTTTGGGTGGACTCTAGAAATATCCCCGAGTTGTATGCGCCGCCTTGCTCCCCCGAGCTGGTTGTGTTGACTTGTGTACCCCTTTTAAGAAAACTGTCTTGAAACAGTGTACTGTTTCGAAGACGAGTGCGTAACTGTAGTGTACAGCTATATCCGGTGTACTGCTGTCCAATTCCCAACCTTTTAGCTAAGCGTCTTCCTAACCCACCTCCTCTAGCCGCTAAGCACTGTTGCTCCGCTCTCGATGCTGCTAAGGCTGCATCCCTCTCAGCCGCTTTTAAGTAAGCTCCCGTGGCCTCAGATACTAGGAATTCATCACTCGTTACAGCGTCACTCGCTATAACATCACCCGCCATAGCACATGGTCTATTTATAGCCCCCGCTTCAGAGCCTTCCCATGGGCTCGCATCGCCGTCCCTAGTCGATGTCGTGGTGCTCGCAGCGCTATTCGTGGCGACATTCGCGGAGACATTCCTCCCCGTGGAACATGGAGCAGAATTAGTGCGACTTAATCTCCTCGCGCGCAACGCCGCAGTGACCACTGATGACGCGGATCCGGACTCCCCACCCACTAATCCTTGTATTCTTAACGGGCTTAAATGATAATGAAAATCTAGCGTGCTTAGCTGATAGCAGGGATGAGTAATTCGTTCGGAAAACTGTGCATATGCGGTTTTTTCTGACGAAATTGCCGACGATATTGCAGACGAAGGTGCTGACCGAGTTGCTACTCTACTGTCCGCAGCCGTTACCGCTACAGTCGGAGCTGCGAACATTCTCCCTGACCTCCGTGCAGTGCTAATACTTGCTGCGTTAGACGCCGCTGCGTTAGTGGTCACCGAATTGGTAACAGCCAATCCTTCCATTTCTAGATGTGCAATGGCGAAACGGCTAGTAGTGCGGGTCTGGTCTGTCGCCGTGCCGCATTGACGGCAATTTCGAGGAGAAATAGGACTGACGTGCGACTGCCGTGCGAGAACCGTGCGATGCGACTGCCCTGTGGCTGCCGTGCGACTGCAAACGTACAAGTCACATGCTTGCGATTCTGTCGCGTCATGCAGCACACGCGACGTGCCTTTGTGGCGGTTTTTTTAGGCAGTTGCGAACACGTCGCGACTCGCGGGACGCCTTTGTGCGAACCTCGAATCCTCGAAACGCTCACAGAAACGGGACGTGGCTTTCTGTGAGATCCTGGCTTCGCATCGAGGAGCTTATAGTTGCGCTTCAATGACGATGAAGAAAACGAAGTGGTTTTTCGTGCTAATTTAAAGACACGGAGCTAGGAAAGCAGCCTTACTAGGCACCTAAAGACTTGCCTACTATGTCCCATGAAGTTACCGATGGTCAGAGATGAATTTACGGATAAGTTGTTACGGTTGTCTTGTCGCAATTCCCCCCCATTCCATGCCAACCATTTCCAACCCACTCCAAACCATCCTAGCCCATCGTTCTCGCCAGATCTGCAAAAGAATCACACGTGTGGGGTGCTGGGTGAGGAAGCTTGATTGTTGACTGGTTGGTTACCCGTGAGCTCGCGAACCAATCAGAGTATCCTGATTACGACGGCAGCCGGCGAACCTTATCTACACAGCAACTCAGGAATTTCGGAAGGGATGAGCAGAACCGCTAACTGTAATAGAAGTTGACGAGCCAGCACTATTCGCTATCTTGTTGTTTTTTTTTTTTTTTTTGCTATTTGGTGATAATGGGTCTGGTCTGGTTCAATAAGAATGCTTGACACAAACTTTCACCTTTTAATTCTACAAGATCCTACATCCAATTGAAGTCTCACCAAGTTTCTAGCAGCTGTGCATGGCTATGAAAAAACTGGGGGGCAGCTAGAAGAGCCGACACAATACACGACAGCGAAAGCGCCCCTAACAAAAGAAACGTGATTGTAATCTGCAGATTAACTGCTTCTTGGGGGGATGCTCCCCCCATGATCATCCCAGTCATTGAGCCTGGGAGCTGAATTATCCCCACAGTCTTGGTGTAGTCTATAGTAGGGCCGAAACCCACAGCTACTGCCCGTTTGATGAGGGGAAGAGAGGCCTCCCATTGGCTTGCACCCAAGGCCAGTGCTGCCTCTAGCTGAAAGGGAAGGAGGGTAAGGAAGGGGAGGGGCAAGGGATGGAGGGAATTAGGGAAATTGGATAGGGGGAGACGGATGGCATGAGAAGAGAGGAAAAAGGGGACCAGAGAGGCTGGAAAGAGAGGTGCTACAGGATGAATTGGAGATGGGAGAGAATGGGGGTGGAGAAAGAGGCAGACGCAGGCGGTGGGAATGGGTGTGAAGGAGTGGGGTTGGAGTATGGGGTCGGGGTACTGGCATGCCATGTTGTTCCTTCCTTCTCACTTGCCCATTCTCCCGGCTCTGTTTGCTACACAAGAATCTTGTAGAGCAAGTCATGATGCATCTCTGTTGGTCAGCTTCCTCATATGCCTGTTCCTCTACAAAAGGTTGTCACCAAGTCACTGCATGGCATTGCTAGCATTATTTAATTTAGTTCGATTTTTTTTTTTTTTTTTTCCCACTGCTTCTGTATCACTCAAGACTCACCTGCCCCCTTCTCTGTTGAAAGTCGTCAGCCAGTCGCTGCATGGTGTTTGCAGCAATGGTCATGCTGCTGCCCACCACAATGCCCCCGATGGGAATCACAAACCGCGGCCGCAGCCGAACCACCTGCGGTCACACAATAAGAGGGGGAAAATAATCAAGTTATAAAAAGGATGTTAGGTGCACTGCAGTACCCCAGTTCAGCCTTCAATTGAAACCAACCAAAACACTTGACAGTGTGATTAAAGCAAGTATATCTTGTAAGCTGACGAGCAGCGACAGCACAGTGACAGTGCCAGTAGCCACCGCCACCAGCGCCACCCAGCCTGCCTCAACCCTTGCTTGATTTAACACCCCAACAACCTTTGCAGTAGGCCTAAGGCTCTTCTTCTCACCTGCAGGCTGACGAGGAGCGACAGCGTAGTGACAGTGCCAGTAGTCACTGCCACCAGCGCCACCCAGAAGCATAGCTCATCCCTAAATTGATGCAATGCTCTAATAACCCTGACAGTAGGCCAAGGGCTGTTGTTCTCACCTGCAAGCTGACTAAGAGAGACAGCGCAGTGACAGTGCCAGTAGCCACCGCCACCAGCGCCACCCAGAAGCCTCGAGGCACTGACTTTGCTCGCCGGGAGGCTGTGTAGGCTGCTATCACGATCTGTGTGGGGAGGAAGGGTTCGCGAGGGGAGGAAGGGTTCGAGAGGGGAGGAAGGGTTCGCGAGGGGCGGAAGGGTTCGCGAGGGGAGGAAGGGTTCGCGAGGGGCGGAAGGGTTCGCGAGGGGAGGAAGATGAGCAAAGAGAAGCGGAACGGATCGTGGATTGGGAATGAGGGCGAGTGCGCGAGAGTAGGGGTTACGTTGGAGGGAGGTGCGGTAAGAATTTTGACAGCGAGGAGCGTGTGTGCGGATGAAGAGGCAAGCAGGGAAGGGAGAAGGGGAAGTAAGATTTGGGGAGAAGAGGGGCAGGAGTTTTGGGTGGTGGTGGTAGGTGGAGGGTGGGGGGGAGTGGTTCTGGCAGAAAAAGGTTTTTGATAATCTGGTATGACGTTCATTCTTCTCACATGTTCAGTTCATTCCCCCTTACATTCATTCTCCCCCACCTCCATTTGCCTCCCCCACCTCCCCCCCCCCCCCCCCCCCCCAATCAATTCCCCCTCATTCATTCCCCCCACATTCATTCCCCCCCACATTCATTCCCCCCCGAGCTCATTCCCCCCACATGCATTCCCCCTTCCCCGTTCAATCCCCCTTGCATGGGCTCTTACCATGACTGCCACGGCAACAAAAACGGGATGCGCGCTGTCAACGGTGAAGATGTATTTAAGCCCCAATCCAACGGCTGTCAGCTGCACGAACGCCCTCGTACCCGATACAAGCAAGTCCGTTGCGGTTTTCACGTCCAGCCAGAGGCACACAGAGAGGGCTACGAGGAACAGCATGGCTGTGGCTAGGTGCCGCTCGGTTCCCATGGGTGCTGCGGCTGATTTCACGCCTGACTTGCTGATTGCCGCTTGCCATTGCGCCTGCGACTGTTGGGTCTTCCCTTGCGCTGCTTTCTTCCCGTGCGACGCCTTCGTCCCTTGTTCTGCCTGCTCCTGCTGCTGCTCCCGCGGCTGCTCCGGCTGTGATTGCTCCCTCTGCTGTTGCGAGAGTTGCTCTGGTTGTTCAGTATTCCGCAAATCCCTTGAATCGTTTTGCCTCTGCATAAGGCGGATAAATGAGAGTGGGGTGGAGGGGTTGAAAAAAGACGAGTGGTAGAATGAGCAGCAGGACTAGCGTCGACCAAAAACGAGAGGGTTTAGGATACGCCGCACGAGGCTTACTTTGCTTTGGCTCGTACTGAGATTTCATTTTAGCAACTTGACGGGTCGCGATCACTCAGCCACCCACTAGAGCGGTGTTTCCAGCCTTAAGGATATAAAATGGTGATACGTTAATTAGCCAAAAAATTCAAAAGATGTGGATCCATATGCAAATTGTAAAAATCTTTACGAGGATGAGACTGACCTGAGTCGGTGCGGCCTGACTGGAAGCTTCCGATGCCGACATCACAACCCGAGAAGCATCGCGACGGTTCACGCTCTTAGTCACACCAATGAACGCTGTTGATTTCCACGCCATAATGGAGGAGAGGGATCCTGACGCCCCGTCTCGAAACCCTTCCGACAGCACACTGCTTCTCATGCCAGTTCTTCCATAGCTTCTCGAGCTGATTTTTACCCTCCTTGGAAGATCAGATTCAGCGCAACGAGACGCCTTATCATTCTGCAAACAGCTTCTTCTGGGAATCCCCCTGACGGGGTTTCCGGCATTCCCCTGTAGCTGACAGCTGACTCGTGCTCTGCATTGTCTGTCTTCTAGAAAAGGTTCGGAGGATGATTCAGGCGATGGAGCGAGGCAGACGCGGTTGGATCGTGGATGGACCAGAGACGAGTTGCGAACAGAAACGGATGCTGCAGCAGGTACATTCATGATTGTTGACACGGAGCACTGACTGAAGCTGACTGACGTTGACTGAAGCTGACTGACGCTGTCAGAATGCAGCCAGAGTAGCTGTCTTGAGTGAGGAGATGGGTCAAAGGACCTAAACGAAGTGGCGTGAAACAATAACTGCTTCCGAGTAGCTAATGAGGAGCATGGAGTCCGTAAGATACTACGTCAGCAATGGCCGTCGCGAAACCTATGTCATTGCTGATCACAAGACCTTGACATATGTAGCAAGTATTTGACTAACGCTTAAGATAAAGAACGCTTGAAATGAAGTATCACGCAGCAAATCAGTCTAAGCCCTTTGAGAGAAACTGGAGCTGCACACGAGTTCTGTCTGCGTGCATCGCACCCCTTCACCTGCTTCTAATGTAGATTTACGAGCCTAAGCGAAGCTTGTAGTCCTGAAGATTGACTGTTGCCCTGCTATATGAGCTGCTCTATGTTCGAGCAACGCATCAGTTGTGCCGTTTTCTGCAACCCAATAATACTTGTCCAGCCTAACGTTAGCAGAAGTTACGAGTAGATGAGAAATATGAGAACTGCACTCTGCAACTGACTGAGATTTGAGATAGGGAGCATTAGGGTGGTTAATGGGAGCACGGAATTTGTGGCAGCTAACTGACGGCGATTTCGCTTTGATTGGCTGAGAGCCTGCAAGGATCTGTGCTGCATTCCAGCGACTCCCATGCGACGTGGCTGATTGGAGGTTACCAGCAGCCGCCACAAGCCTGCTGCTTGTCGAGGCGGTGAGGCGATGTGGCTAGCCCTAGGAAGTGACAGGTGTCGGTTGGGACCTATGACGTTGATTGCAGCATAATGGCAGCCACATCAGCACCCTCCCAAAGTGCCTGATGACCTGGCACCTTTTGATTTCGAGCATTCAGGATAGGCTCGGAGAACTCACAGGCAATCTCGATATTGTTGAAATGGGATTTCTGTTCAAAAGTAGTGGCAGGAGAAGACGACAAAAATGTTCCTCTATAACGCGTATTGATCTCTTGCTCTCCTCTTCCTCCTCCCTCCCTCGCCCCTTCAAAACGCTGGCAAGCATTTATCGTCACATCAGCTGCCCTTGCCTGGATACTAGAAGTTCTAGGTCTAGGCGTCGTCAGAACGTGCGACGCGCGGCGAAGCTCGTCAAGAGTTAGCGAAGCGCGCACAGGCCCTACTCGTCTTCTCTGTCCCCCCTGTGAATCGCTTGATTCAGTCCGTCGCGACGCAGCTGATCATATTGCATACGCAGCAGCTCTCGGCTATTGTCCTCCAATGGCGTCCGTCCTCGCGTCGCATTGCGTCGCGCCTGCATCCTGCGCGGTTTCCGGAACAACCCATTTCGGGTCTGACACCCGACCACATTCATTCTCGCAATGCCGAACCCGATCCACGCCTGCCGAGCCTCGCGCGACAGGCTTGGCGTCGTCGCGATCCTGGCTCGTTTCTCGCCAGTTACATTCGCGAAGCTCGCCAAATTCTTTTCGACGAATTTCGAAAATTTGTGGTCAGGCACGCGCAGCCCTTGATTCTGCATCCGAATCTGCCCCATCCGCAAGCTTCCCTGCCTCCACGTTAGCAGCCGCGACGCGAAGGGACCTCCTCGCGGCCACCGCCGCGATCTCCGCCGCGTTCCTCGCGCAGCCGCTGCTTCCGGGGCTTGCCTTCGCTGACGAGGCGGCTGGCGTGATTGAAACGAGTGTGATTGTAGGAGAAGCTACAGCAGCCGCAGCAACAGAACCCGCACGAGCAGCAGCAGCGGCAGCAGCGACGGCGGCACCAGAAGCAGCACCAGCAGCAACCCTAGACGCGGGTTCCGCGCCTCCTACAACCCCGAGCAGCAGCAGTAGCACTAGCAGCAGCAGCAGTGGCACTAGCACTACCAGTGGCAGTAGCGGTAGCAATTCCACCACTCCGACACAGCCTTCCGCGCAGCCTTCCGCGCAGCCTTCTGCGCAGCCTTCCGCCCAGCCTTCCACTCAGCAGCCCTCTTCCCGTCGTCCTGCCAGCGAAGTGCTTGACGTGGCGAGCTGGCAGCGAGTGCGAGGCGACGATTTCGCCGTGCGGTTACCACCCGGTTTCGTCGACGTTACGCCACAGCCAGACGAAGAGGCACTCAACGCGCCCATGTCGACCCTAGGCCTCGAAAACCGGGCAAAGAAAAATCCTCTGCTTGCCCGGTTCGTCTCGGAGGACGAATCAGAAGTCATCACGGTGATCTACCGCCGGGCAGCCGACGTAAAACTTTCGTTCTTTGAACCCAAAGATGTTTCCGATTTCGGTCCGATCGAGGACGTGGCCAATCTCTTCGTGCCACCTGGCTCGCGGGTACTGGCGAAACGGGCGTTTACAGCTACACCCAGACGAACTACACGCACGTATTATCTGTACGAATTTGTGACTGGAAAGGGGCCGAAGGCGCTGCATGGCGCCATGAGTGTGAGTGTAGCGAGGGGGCAGGTGTATCTGATGGCTGCTACTGCTCCAGAGGAGAAGTGGCGGCCTGCTGCTGGCAGGCTGAGAGCTGCCGCTGGGGCTTTCCTGTTGGTGATTTAATTGAGTGTGATTGTATCAGGAACAGGGGAGTGGAGGGGGGTGTGTGAGTGTAGCGAGGGGGCAGGTTTATCTGATGGCTGCTACTGCTCCAGAGGAGAAGTGGCGACCTGCAGCTGCTAGGTTGAGAGCTGCTGCTGGGGCTTTTCAACTGGTGGTTTAAGCAGGTGTGATTGTATGAGGAGCCGGGGAGAAGAGGGGGGCATGTGAGTATAGCGAGGGGCCTGCCAGGTGTATCTGATGGCTGCCACGGCTCATGAGGAGAAGTGGGGACCTGCTGCTGCCAGGCTGAGAGCTGCTGATGGAGCTTTCCTGTTAGTGATCTAGTGAAATGTGCTTGTATCAAGAGAGGGTGTGACTGAAAGAGGCAATGTGATTGGTGCCAGGGGCAGGAGAGGGGGGGAGGGGGAGGGAGTGTAGCGAGGGGGCAGGTGAATTTGATTGCTGATACGGCTCTAGAGCAGAATTGGGGGCCTGCTGCTGTCAGGCTGAAACACTTTTGAGTATGGAGATTCGACATGTTGAAGGTTTTAGGGGAGGCCGAGTGTCCTTCGAGAACAAGTGACTGACGGGTTGCAGCTGAACAGAATTCTAAGGCAGCCGAGTTTAGGGCTAACTGAATGTGTCTCTATGGGGGGGGTTCCAACTTAGGGTGCCACAGAGGGATAGTTGAGTGGAGGGAGAAGGAGGGACCCACTCTTGGTGGTTTGGTTTTCGTAGTGTTAGTAGAAGAAACCAATTTGTGTGAGCATATTCCTGCTGCAGTTCAGTCCCCTGTGTACATGGTACACTTCTTGTTGTTGAGTGATACACAATACAACGGCTCCAGTCTTGTGCAATCTTATGTCCTTGAATGAAATCGAATCTCACTGCAAGTCAAACTTTTACTAATGGTACTGTGTCATGTGACATAGTCCAAGCATAGCATTGCGTATGTTGCGACGCATTGGTACGGTACTCGTGGTGCCTGAGTACTTGCAGCGGCAACACATCGACTTCTGTTCTGCGTTGACTCAAGAGTGTACTCGTGGTGCCTGAGTACTTGCAGCGGCAACAAGTTAACTTCTGCGTTGACTCAAGAGTGTTCTCGTGGTGCATGCGTGTGTATGTGTCAAATGTTGTAGCCTATAGTGAGGTTTGTCTTAGGGGGTACAAAACTTAGGGTTAGCTATATGTACCCCAACCAACAACAATGCATCATCCATTCCTCATTTTGACATGGTATCAGTTAGGTTAGGATCCTGTGGGATCCCGTTTCTCCGTTCTCCGATCGTACCACCCGAGCCTGATCCTAGCTCTCGTTTCGCCCGTCTTGCCCGAGCCTAGTGCCGGCCCGATCTAGTCCCGTTCGTTCGTTACCGCTCGTTCTTCCTCCCGATCTAGCGTAGCCCGATCTAGCGTACCGCTGCAGGTCGCGCCGCACTTCCCCCCCCCC